CCTCGTCGCCAGTTATCAAGTCCTTAAATTATATAATAAACAAGATACAAGAGAATGCACAACCCATTTTATTCAACCATTTTAACTGAATGAAAAATATATAATCACAAACATAAACATTAAAAAACAATAACATAAACCATGTGTGTTAAGAAATCATATGTTGATGATAACTCTTATTATTTTCTATTCGCAAAAAATTTGACCAATATTTGCTATTGATTTTGGTTAATACAGTACGATCTTGTGAAGTCGGCTCACTTCAAGATACTCGGATAACCCGCACCAGTTTTCAATGTATAATATAAATTAATATTGAATGCAATTTTGTGAAGCTACTGCCGTGGATAAAACATACTCCCTAAATAGATTTGTCTTCCTTATGGAATAGCTGAAGAAAATGTTATTGTTAGTGCTGTATGTCACACTATCAAAGTCAAAGTCAAATAAATCTTTATTCAGACATACAACAATGTGTACATGAATGCGTCTTAATCTTAAACTATAACTAATACTAAAAACCATTTTCCTGATCCATTTTATCTTTTTTTTTTTACATATTTACATGTTTATTTACATATTTGAACATAGTGCAGTAAATTCTTCAAAATTATAAAACTCTCCACTAATTAGAAAATTCTTAAGCTTTTTTTTTGAACTTATTTCCGTTTTCCTCATTTCTGATGCTACAAGGGAGGGAATGAAAAAATGTAACCCCAATATAATCAGGGCTTTCTTTACATTTTTCTTTTTTATGCTTTTTAATTATAAAATTTTGTTTGTGTCTAGTATTGTAAGTATGTACATCTTGCTGTCTTTGCAGTTGCGACTCCCGGCTTTTAACATATAATATAGTCTTATATATGTAGAGGCTGTAAACTGTAAAGAATTCTAATTCTTTGAAACGATTTTTACATGATTCATTTTCATTTAAATTAAGGATGCACCTTATGGCCTCTTTTTGTAAATGTAAAATTTCATTTAAGTTAGATTTATTTGTTCCACCATAAATTTCAATGCCATAAGCAATATGGGAGTGTATATTTGAATAATAAACCACACGCAAAATTTCTTTACTGCAAAGGGGATATAGTCGTCTTAAAGTAAAAATACCGGAGCTAATTTTATTACATATTTTATTGACATGTGAGGTCCACTTTAGTGTGCTGTCCAAGGTTAGACCTAAAAATTTGGTTTCACATGCAAAATTTTCAAATATCTTTTCGCCAGACTTTTTACACTCAAATTTGATAAAGGTTGTTTTGTTTTCATTAAGTAAAAGGTTTTTTTCATTTAAGTAATCTCCAATTATTTTGAGCGAATCTTTCATTTTTATTTCAAGAAGTTCAATATTCTTTTCATGTATAGACATACTTATGTCATCTGCATACAAGCAGAGGGCATTGTTTTCTACCCGTTCAGATAAATGTTTTGGCATCCCTCCCAAGTAGCACAGGAACAGGAATGGACCCAACACAGATCCCTGAGGAACAGAATATTTAACTTCCCTAACATTAGATCTAACATTGTACATCTTATTTCCATCTAAATACCCAATGTTAACAAACTGTTGGCGGCCCTCTAAATAAGATTTTATCCAGTCCAGTTCTTTACCACTAATTCCATATGCTCTGAGTTTTTGCAGTAACTTTAAATGATTCACGCTATCAAAAGCCTTAGACATATAAAGGCGCCAACAACATAATTGTCCTCATCCAACTTATGTAATACATTTTCAATATAAGAAATTAGAGCTGTAGTAGTGGATTTATTTTTTCTATATCCATGCTGTTCTTGATCTAATAAGTGGTTATTTTCAAAATAATCTACTAGTTGAAAAAGTAAACTTTTTTCAAATAGCTTTGATAGAGCAGGTTGAATTGCCAATGGTCTATAGTTTTGCGGATCTTTTTTATCACCTTTTTTATATACTGGAATTATTTTTGATATTTTTAGTTGAGCGGGAAAAACACCTGTTATTAGTGATGTATTAATCACATGTAAAAGTGGCTTTAACAAAACAGATTTTGATTCTTTAATAATTTTGATTGGAATTTCATCATAACCGGATGACCATTTAGGTTTTATTGAATCAATTATGGATGTCAAAATTGATTCATCGATGGTTTGACACCTAAATTTTATGTTTAAAATACTTTGATCAGAATGTTGTTGGGTTTTCTTTAATTTCGGTAAAACATTTTTGTCAACCATCTCAGCAAAATTATCATTTAAGATGTTTGCGACAGCATATGGTTCTTCTATTTTTTTGCCGTTATGTTTGAGTGAAATATTACTATGACATCTTTCTTTTTTACTTTTTGTTTCAGTGTTCACAATTTTCCAAACAGTTTTGTTAACATTGGTAGAATTTCTAATTTTATTGTCAAAATGGGTTTTTTTCTTAAGTTCTATCATATTTTTGTATCTCTTCTTGTGTTCCTTAATATAATTCTTCAATGCTATGTTACTTCTATCATCTCTATATAAGTCATGTTCTGCAATTATTTCATGACGCTCATTGATAATTTCATCATCAATCCATCCATTATTTACGTTACTGGAAACTATTTTTCTTTTAGGGAAATGTAAATTGAAGTAATATTTTAAAATGTTATAGAAATAAAGTAAATTTGTCTTCCACATTACAGTTATAAAGTTTTGTCCAATCCTCTTTGGAAAGGTCATAAATGAAAAGGTTAATGCTCTCTTGTTTATACCTCCTTTCATACTTATGTATTTTAAGATTTAAACTGTTTTTTGTACTTTTTGAACTGAGGATTTTAAAAAGTTGTCCATCTTGATCTGACAATGCTGTAATTAAACATTCTACTTCAAACAAATTGTTATCTAAATTAGTAATAAAATTATCAATGGCAGATAAACTCTTTTCAGCAACTCTAGTTGGAATTTTAATTGTATATTTAAAACCATGCATCTGCAAAACATTAACAAACTTCTTTTTCTTATTGTCTTCCCTCAAAACATTGATATTAAAATCGCCCCCCATTAAAATTTTTTTGTCAGTTTTACTTAAAATTTTCAAAAGTTCACTTAGTTTTTCCAAATATATATCAACGTCTTGTGATGGTGTTCTATATACCCCAGCCACTAAAAATTTTTCTTTGCCTACTTTAATTTCTGTTACACAAGATTCAAAGATTTTATCTTGATTAAGCGCCTGTAATGAACTTAGCATTATATTTTTGAATTCAATTTTTTCTGACACCAAAATTAATACCCCCCCTCCCGCGAAATCTGTTCTAGTGTACCAGGTTGAAACTTGATACCCTGGTATTTTGAGTTTTGTTATTTCATGTTGGTTTAATTTATGTTCAGTCAAAATTATAATATGTGGCTTTAATTCTTTAATATGTGGCTTTAACTATAGAGGCCGTGTTTTGTTTACAATTTTTTTTGTTATTTCAGTCATTTAAAACCACATTTAACCAAAAGAACTATCTAATAATAAACAATAACCGGTCCCCTTGTTAAATAATTAAACAGTTAAGCACCAATAAAGAAAATAACCATAAAATAATGGAAACAAAATTCCGTCTACACTAGAGATCAGTGTCGACGTACATGAATTAGACGCGAAAAACTAGCTTCAAAATTTACAATGGGATGAAAAGTCTGTGTTGCTTAGTTTAAGCTATTACTTTTTATACAAGCAAAAAATCAAGCAGGATTGTTTTTCTGCCATTTTCATGCAATTCTGTTTATTTTCTGTATTTATATCTGGTTTGTGACTGTCGCACAATGCACACCTTAGATGAGTTGTTATTGTTTTTTTACCTTAACCCTCCCAGTGTTACTTGACGAAAATTCGACAAGCAGCACACTTTGTGTAGTGTTACTTGTCGATTTTTCGACATGCAGACATCGTTTACGGCGAAGGCTCTATGACTGACTGAATCGGATTGAACTGGATCGAGTTAGGTATCGTTCTTTCCGTAATATTCTAAGCTTTCTCAAGAGGTCTGTCTCTAAGCGCTATTCATTTTAGTTCCGAAAATATTGTAGCAGACAGCTGACGTGCGTGTATTTGTAAACAGCTAGGTTCCCCCGGACCGATGACTGATGTGTTTTATTACGTTTATCATTGTTTTAGTGTTAAAAATCAAAAGTAGTGATATACGTGGTGCATTATAAGAAGATTTAAGTGGTTTTGAAGTGCTGGTTGATGATCCTGAAGAAGTAGGTAGTGATATTGATGTAAATTATCAGCCAGATTCCTAGCTATGGTTAGCTATGCATTCTTAGCTAAACGCTATGTACTGAAATCAGTTTTATGCCCATAACTTATTTATTTGCAAATATACTTCCTTATATTATTATATAGTTGTAATCCTCATAAAATTTAGAACAAAGTGGCTATTTTCTAATATTTATAGGCCTATAATTTATACAATTTCATTGAGCGCGAACTTATTTTTTTTTTGAAAATTTTCGAAATTATATTTTTTTTACCTAAAAATTTTTTTTTTGAAAAAATGTTCCTTATGTTTTATATATAATATTGAAGCCCATGATTTTCCAAACAAAATGGTATATAGAACATTAGAATTAACATTGTTTTAAGCTTCTCAGATCCGTTTTAATAAAACCTTGCAAATGCGCCAAAAATAGGTGGACATTAAGGCCTAAACTATGGACACTTGGAGGGTTAAACCTTAAACTGACATTTCGGCTTCATTGCAGATTGCTATCTTAAAAGCAGTAATATGATTTGGTTTAACTGTAACTCCCAAAGATCGAGACATTGTGAAAGCAAATTTGCAAAAACCAAATACTATGTATGCATAACCATTGACTATACACAGAATATATAGTCAATGGCATAACCCAGTTAGGACATACCAACACTTACAAAGGCATTAATATTTTTATTTTTAGATTAAGTATGTGTTTGGCTTATTTGTATTTGTTGGTAATAAAGTTGATTTTGAATGATTTATTTGTTTTATATCTTTTGGTAAGATGGTGTTTAATTCCAGGAATTATGTTGCTCTTGGACTGGCCTTAAGATTTGTTTTGGAAGCGCTTCGCAAACCCCACGGAAGCAAGATGTATTATTTTGGAATTGCTGCTCTAGATCGCTTCAAAAGCCGACTGCGGGAGTACCAAAAGTACTGTGAGCATGTGTCAAACATTCCTCACTTCAGGGAGTTTCCGCCACATCTTGTGGAGGTGAATGGAAAGATTGTCTTTGGTAGTTTATATTTGTGTGTTACTGTTTTACAACCTAGACCATTACTACAAAATTATAAACCATCTACTGTTATAGTAATTTGTGAATGTAAAACAGACTACAGGGTGTTTTTAGTACCATGAGACACTTTTTAACGAAAAAACAAGCTCATATGTTGGTATCCTTGTTTTCATTACTTCATTGCTGATCACCTGATATGCACTGTTGCATAGTTATCAATGAAGGCTAGTGTTTTGGGAATTTATTGTAGAAGAATACTTTGTTAAAAGTAAATCATTAAATTTTGCCAAGAATGGTTTCAAATTAAGTTTCCATATTTGATTCCATCCAGTACCTACCCAATAAATCTATTATTTATTGACTTGTCAAAGATTTAAGGAAACCGGAGTTGAGTTTGCAAAAACACCCTGTTGAGTCTTATTTACAATAAATGCTCCATTAGAAAACACGGATACCAAATTATAAGGTAGTTTTATCCTTAAACAGTGTATCTCAATACTTGTAATTAGGGCTTTATTAAAAAAAAATACACCCTGTATAAGATTCTAACCTACTATCATTTGAGATGTGGCCCAAAAGAAAAAGAATTAGGCTATTTAACACTTTTGGAAATCAATGAAGTTTGGTATATTTTTACAATGTTACCCTACTCATCAAAATTCTGATTATGCAAGTCAGTTTTTTTTTTCAAGAAGCACCAAAACTTATGTAGCCTATGTTCTTATTTTAACATATGAAATTACAAAGAGAATTTGTTTTATTCTACACACAAACATGCTGCATCTTCATTACAATGAATGAACATATATTATGGTGTCATAAAATTTGGAAATACCTTTTACCATTGATAGAAATAGACATTCCATCCCCTTGTTAAAGTTGTCTCCAGTTTTTTTTTTTTTATAAAAATGGGTATATTGAGCCAGCGGTATATTGTGATAATGTAAGTTACTAATTTCTGTTGAATACAACTTTTTAACCTAGTAAAACTGATATGATGATTTTTTGTAAGCTATTCTAGTAAGCTATCTTTTTTGTCATATTAACAATCTCAATTAAAAAAAAATTAGAAAACATTTAAGGCACTAGGTGGCTCATTAAAATATGTTTTTTTTTTATTGCGACAGCTGGTCCATATAGATGGAATGTCTACTTCAGTATCCATAAGTCAATGGTAATACACGCAAGATATTCTGGAATATATTCAAAGTTAAATATTTTAATTTTTTGTGTTTTGAAATCAGGTTTGATCTCGATTGATTTTATAATTAGAATTCTGCTGTATCAAATTGTTCTATTAAGTATTCTAAATACAAATACCCCCGCCGCAGCAAACCTGCAGACTAAGCGAATTTCAATTTGTCTGATTACATTTTTACTAAAATATTTCCATATTTTATTTTATTTTATTCTAGATAATCTATATTTATAAATAAAGACATATTTTATTCCCTATTTAAATAACATTAGATTTAACGAGTGCTTAGGTTTGCTGCTACGGGAAAGGTAAAAAGTGTTTTTTGACCATACTTCAATAGTATATGATGAAATAAATAAATTTGCCAAATTTTATCAATATAATATCCATAAACAAGTAAACTACAACAATTTTCATTTTCTCCATAAGAATAACATGGAAATTTTAAATTACACTATTTTTAAATTATTTCTTTTTTTAAGCTCTACTAAAGGGTTTGAAAAGAAATTGCAAAATTTCTTGTTTTTAGGGTCAAAAATGGGATAAGCCCATTTTTACCCCATAAAACCCCCCGTAAACCCCGGTTTCCATGGTCCAATTATGCTGGATCGCAAACTCGTTTGAATAAACGTATGTTTACACGTTTGTAGCAAATTTCATCAAAATCGGATCATTTTTGCTCGAGTTATCGCGCTAACGGACACATATATATATATGAATTTGAACGGATGGTGTTTTTGGCCTCTTGGGCCTCAAAATGAAAAATTAAATCGGTCCCGGGTCCAGGTCTTAAAACCATGAGTACTACGGTAATAGCTACTTCCCTATAGGGAAATTCGCTAAAAGGCATCATTGTATAGCGGAGTTTGACGTTTATTGTTTTTGCATGTGTTTTAACTGAGTTGTGTGTGGTGGCAGTATGTTGACTACGGGTTGCAAGGTCAGGAGCCACCCACCAGGCCGCAAGGTCCAGTGTTGCCAGCCTCACTAGCTGCTATGTTGACAGCTGTTACTACTGCATACAAGACTATCACTGCCACCACAGTCACCAGCACAACCACCATCACTGCTGCTAAGGTGGCCACTACGTCAGTTGTACACTCCTCCAGGGTACGTCAACATAGTATATATAGAAAGTATAGTTTTGGTTAAAAGTTCATAGTTTTGAGTGAAAATATCTGATTAAGGTCCCCCTGAGCTCAAAAAGTGGTTTTTGAAGTCATGTCCTATGTACATGTGGATCTGTAGAGAGCTACATACTACAACTGTGGTTTTGATTGAATTAGTATGTTTAAGTCCTTTTAATCGTGAGCACAACCCCTAACGCTTCAAAATAATTATAATTCAAGAACAATTGCAATTTTTACAGACTGAGACTACACCTATAATCCTATTTTCATGAAATTCATTAAGTTGGTACTTATCCAAACTAATGGGAGGAGCTATGTCACTCACTTGACTAAAAGAATAAGAAGATATAAAAGTAACTTGAAATTCACTTACCTTTTGTAAGAGTTCACAAAAGTCACTGATATAAATTTAAAGACATTCTAAGTTCAACGGTTAATAACGGTTATTTTATTTTATTGACCAAAACTAGAAGCAACAACTGGAAAGTAATATAGTTTTTTTTTTTTTATAAATTGTGTATTTGGTTTTAAAATAGTGTACTTTGTTTGGTAATTAACTTTTGGAATATTACATTGAAGGAACTTTCTCTACTTCAACAGGTTAACTATGAATGTATGAGTTCAGCTTATAATTACCAAATTTAACAGATTATTATTGAAGAGAACTGGTTGTCATCCTGTTTAGAGCTGTCACAGAGTGAAATGAACCAATTTTGTATTTACTTAAAGTTAATACATCCAGCTATAGTAAATATAAAATGTAAAATTGAGAAACAATTACTTGATTGATACCATTGCTACAATTACTATCATTTATCAATTGGAACGACACCTGGAAATATGAGTGAAAATTGATCTGTGTAACTTAACTTTGTTACTAAGATCAGCTGTTTCATCTGCCAGAATCATTTATTTGAAGCCCAATGATGAGGGACAGTTGGTTTAATTTTAGAACCATCAAAAAGCTACTGACTTTTTTCATGATCGATCCAGCAACCTTTTGATTGTTAAGGGAGCACTACTCAGATAACCACTCAGCTACCCAGCCAGTTTTATGGAATACCAAAAAAAGGTACAACCATATGTCTATCCTGTTGCACATTGTCTTGGATATGCTTTGTAGAAGTATACTAGATTTTTTATTTAAAATCTATTTTTACAGCCATCAATAGCCAATGCTACCAACATCGATACCTTACTTGTTGCTACTGAGAAGGATGAGAAAATCATTTCACCACCAGAAGCAATGCAAGATAAAGTCGCTTTCATATTTAACAACCTTAGTCAACTTAACTTGCAAACAAAGGTAAGATAATGTAAAATAGAGTTCTACCCAATTTTTTGGTGCCATGTAATTCTAATTCCAGAAAATAAGAGATAAAACAGTGGCGGAATTATAATGATCTCTGAAAACAAACACAATAAATGTCTGTAAGTGGCTTGATTTTTGATCCTAGCCAAGCCTGTCCTAATAAATCGAATGATCAACAACATTATCATGAAGATCTATCGGAGCCAAGCTCTCATTTTGACAATATTGTTCCGGTTGCAGAAAGCAGCTGCAGAGATTGATAAATGCTATTACATTCAATTATGACAAATTTATTATGTTCAAAACCCAATTTCAGCTTTTCACATGATGCCACATTTCGAGAGTGATCACAAAATGGCTGGAGGTCAGGTTATCAAGAATGCTGGAGTTAATCATAACAGCAATAATGTGATTGTGAAATATTATCTCAATATTGTAGCAATTGTAGTTCGCACAAGATCCAGTCATTACTGCTAAAAGCATAACTCAGAAAGACTCTGCTTCAAAACACAATTTCGGAACAGTATCTTTCCGAGTGATGCCTTTCTGAGCAGGTCCTGACCGGTCACATTATTTTGTAGCATTCTTATTGGAGCAGTGCCTTTTGGAGCCATGCCTTTTGCAGCGATACCACACACTGGTTTGCTCAAGGTCATTTAGATTAGATGATGTCATGATATGCAGTTAAAAGTATAAATTATCATAGTGCTAAACTTGTTTATGAAAGATAATCTATTAACTCTTTATATTTTTTACATTTTTACTATTAGTCGAAGCTGAAACTTTTGACTTTTGGTTTGACAGTGTGATGAATTGAGGGAGATAGTGACGGAGGAGTATTGGCCATGGATATCCCAGTACTTGGTGATGAAGAGAGCCAGCATTGAGCTCAACTTTCACGGTCTTTACTCAAACTTCCTTGACGTTCTCAAAATACAACCTGTCAACGACATGGTGCTAAAGGAAACTTACCGTAACATCAGGGTATGTATTGCTGTGTATCCACCATCTAAATGCCTATCCCATTGACGACAGATGATGGTACTAAACTCTTTCTGATTTATATAAATAATATAAAAAAAAACATAATAATTTTATCAATTGAAAAATGTTTAAATATAAAATGGCAGTATGTATATTGTGTAATTGAAGTTGATTATATTGTCTAGAGTGATAGGGCTTGATACCTTGAAAAATCCAGGTCTCAGTGTCAGGTACTGCGTTATGGGGTTCCCCAGGGACAGGCCCTCTGCTCTTTCTTTGCTACATAAGAGGCATGCCAGAGATGATCCCTGGGCCCGATGCATCAATGTGTCTGTAGTCTGATGACTGTAATATTCTGTTTTCAGGAAAGTCACATGATTATGTTGAAAAATCTTTAAATAAAACAGTTCAGTTTATCCATGAGTTCCTTGATAAAAAAAATCTATTAGTAAATAAAAAGAAAACAAACCTAATATCATTTTCAACCAAACAATCAAAAGTCAAATTCGAGCCAAATATTTTCTTAAAATCAGATAGAATAGATCAAGTGGGCCTAACTAAATTTCTTGGTTTAATTATTGATGAAAATCTCTCATGGGATGATCACATCAACCACCTCGTAAAAAAATTATCTTCTGGTATCTATGCTCTGAGACAGATGTCCACAGAGTGTCTAGTAGTGGGGAAAGTCGGGAATTAGTATTGAATTTAAAAATGGTCTTGAAAAGTCGGGATTTAGTCTTAAATTTGATTTCAAAGTCTGGAATTTTCATGATTTTGCCGCGATCGTCGTCTTGCGTTTACGAAACCGCGAAAGCCAATGATGATGATGTCTAATTGGCCTCGGGAAATGTTCACGATTTTGCCGCAATAGTGGACGACGACGATGACGTTTCCAAAACCACGAGAGACGACGATGACGTTTCTGTGACAGCGGGAGACGACGATGACGTTTCCGTGACCGCATGAGATGACGATGACGTTTCCGTGACCGCGGGAGACAACAATGATATTTGCTCGGCCGCGGGAAATGTTCATGATTTTGTCGCGATCGCGGACGACGACGATGACGTTTCCGTGACCGCGGGAGACGACGATGATGTCTACACGGCCGTGGGAAATGTTCATGATGTTGTTGTGATTGCGGACGTCGACGATAACGTTTCCGTGACCGTGGGAGATGACGATGACGTTTCCGTGACCGCGGGAGACGACGATGATGTCTACACGGCCGCAGGAAATGTTCATGATTTTGTCGCGATCGCGGACGACGACGATGACTAAATATGCTGGTTCAAAATTGTATAACAAAATTCCAAAAAGCATAACAGATGAGGTGTCAACCAAAAAATTCAAAATTAAATTGAAGCAGTACCTCATCAGCAAAGCTATATATTCTATCGATGAGTTGTAGGAGGTAATGTCAATTTTTGCATATATTGTTAATTCTAAGAAACCTTTGTTTTTCATTTTTCAATACCTGTATATTTGACACATACCTGTATATTTATGTATGTATTGTATACTACTAACAAATAAAGATGATTTGAATTTGGCGTTTCCGTGACCGCGGGAGATGACGATGGCGTTTCCGTGACCGCGGGAGACGACGATGATGTCTACACGTCCGCGGGAAATGTTCATGATTTTGCCGTGATCGCGGACGACGACGATAACGTTTCCGTGACCGCGGGAGATGACGGTGATGTCTAAACAGCCGCGGGAAATGTTCATGATTTTGTCGCGATCGCGGACGACGACAATGACGTTTCTGTGACCGCGGGAGACGACGATGATGTCACTGATGTCTACAAGGCCGGGGGAAATGTTCATGATTTTGCCGTGATCGCGGACGACGACGATCACGTTTCTGTAACCGCTGCAGTCAATGATGATGTCTAAACGTACGGTACGCGGAAGATTTCATGATAAAATACCCCCGCTGCAGCAAACCTGCAGACTAAGCGAATTTCCATTTGACTGATTGGATTTACACTGAAATGTCTACTTAAAAATATAACATTTATTCTTGATTTAAATAGAATTAGTTTAACAAGTACTTAGATTTGCTGCATCAGGGAGGGTAAAACTGTTTTTTTTTTGTAAAATGTGAATAGTTAGTAAGAAATAAAAACATTTTCCAAATTTGATCAAAATATGTTCACAAACAAGCAAACTACAACAGTATACTTATTCTCCATAAGAATAACATGGGAATTTTAAATTTACAATTTTTTTGAATTTTCTCCGTAACCATTAGGCGCATAGTAACGCTTCAATATACTAAATTATTTGTTTTTTTAAGCTCTACAAAATGGTTTGGAAAGAAATTGCTAAATCTTATGTTTTTTGGGTCAAAAATGGGAAAAACCTATTTTTACCCCCATAAAACCCCCCGTAAACCCCCGTTCCCATGGTCCGATCATGCTGGATCGCGAACTCGTTCGAATAAACGTACTTTTACACGTTTGTACCAAATTTCATCAAAATCGGATCATTTTTGCTCGAGTTATCGTGCTGACGGACACATATATATATATATATAAATATATAAATATATATATATATATATATATGAATTTGAACGGATGGTGTTTTTGGCCTCTAGGGACCTCAAATCGAAAAAAAAAATCGGTCCCGCGTCCAGGTCTTACCATGAGTACTACGGTAATAGCTTATGGGAAATTCGCTAAAAAAACCAAATTTGCTAGTTAGAATTTTTTATTGCTGCATTATTTCTTTACGTGAAAACACCACATTATTATAATCTTACTTTATGACAAAGACAGGTTTTGGTGTAGTATTATTTAGAAAATTTGGTTAAGCTATAAAATTTGGTATCGGTATCAAGAATCGAGAATCGATACATTTTGGTATCAACACCCAATAATTGTTGACAAAACTAGTCTTGAAAAATCTGGAATTAGTCTTGAAAAGTCTGGAATTAGTCATGAATTTTATAATGGAAATAAACTAGACACCCTGTGTCCAGAATCTGTGATTTGGAAACTTTAAAAATTATTTATTATTCATTAGTTCAATCCCACTTTTCATATGGAATCACAGTCTATGGTGGAACAACAAAATCAAATCTTGATAAAGTACTTAAACAGCAAAAAAGAGCAATTCGCACTATTATGAAATTACATCTCAGTAAAGAATCTTTTTCATAAATTGGACATTTTAACTGTGTATAATTTATATATTCTTGAAACCATTATCTTTTTCAGTATGATAAATATTTTTGGGCATCACTCACCTTATTGAAATCAGGAGAACGCAGTCCTTGTCATATCACAATCACACACAGTTCATTGCGCATACACATTGATGATAAAAAAATACAATAATAAAAATAAAACTAAATTTAAAATCTCAGACTAAAGTTTTCAACTCCTACGTTTCGCCGCACCAAAATCAACGTGCGGCGTTTTCAAGGTAAGTTTTCTCACTCAAACGTTGTGAGCGCCTAACCACGACTTCAATAAGGTGAGTGATGGCCAAAAATATTTATCATACTGAATTGAACCAGGTCGTTTAGAAATAGAACATTATCTTTTTGAAACAAAGGGAACTAACAATACCCTCCAATTCCGGGCATAACTATAATACTAGGTTAAAAATTAGATTGCCTCAGCATAAATTAGAATATTATATAAAGAAAACCACTTATGCAGGATTGAAATTGTTACAATATTTACCAATAAGCATCCGGCAGGAGACAAATTTAAAAAATTCAAAAAACTTAAAAGATTTCTTAGTAAAAAATCCTTTTTATTCATTATAAGAATTTGTAGATAAAAAAAATATTTCATTTGAATTTCCATTTATTTTTCATAATGGACATTTGCGTAGATGTATATTTTAATGTGTATGATTTGTATATAGATTTTGACTCTATTCAGATACATGTATGTTTTATATATGTTATATATTGAATAAAGACTATTTGAATCTTGAATCTCTACAAAATTAATTGCGCTATTTGAACATGTTCTTTTGGTTAGAGGTTTTGTTAAAAATTACTTGTTAATATAAAACCAATACAGGTAAACAGTTATACATAATGTAACTAAATCCAGTTATAGAACTTATATTGATGAATGTTTAAAGGTGTTGCTGAGATCTGACAAAGGAATCGCCAACTTCTCCGACCGTTCCCTCCTGAAGAACCTTGGCCACTGGCTGGGCATGTTGACCCTCGGACGTAGTTTGCCCATCTTGCAACTAGACCTGGATCTCACTTCCTTACTAATAGAAGCCTACAACAAGGGCCAGCAGGAGCTGCTCTATGTTGTACCGTTTGTTGCTAAGGTCTTGGAATCCTGCGCTAAGAGCAAGGTTAGCTGTTACACCACCCATCGTATCCTAGGACACTAGGCTCTAACCTGTTGCGGCACTATCACTTAGACAAAATCCATTGCTGATTGGCTGGATATGAACCTTGGACCTTGGGGAGTTCCAAGCTCTACCACTAGTTCAACTTGTTGTAACACTGTAGAGTAGACACATTACCTCTTTCATCGTAGTGAAATGCAAAACTGAATTTGATTAGCTAATTTTTTCAATTGTTGAATATTTCTGTTTGTAATTGTAAATACTGTAGTGGTAGTGTGACAAAGCTAATTATTAGATTCAAATTCTAGATTACAGCCTGTGAATTAAATAATTTATAGATTCTTTCATGTTTTAAATGTGTCGTTCCTTTTATTTGTGTAACTAATAAAATTGTTTGAAATCGTTTTTTAATTACTCACTCAGTTTACGAAATGTTAAATTTTCTGGATAGATATTATTCTGATCTTTGGGCAGAATTACACTTGATTCAGGATTTTCTTGTGACTGGATATGTTCTGAAAATCAGCCATTTCACAGTGATAATGATGTCTCCGCGCCCCAGTCTATTAACCTTAAAATTGTGTTTAGTCCATTTTATTAGGTAGTGTTACTACTTACTAGCTGTATTTAGTCAATTGTTTTAGTTGCAATATTGTATTTGCAGGCGTTTAAACCTCGAAACCCCTGGACTATGTCTATCATGAACGTATTGGCAGAGTTGCATCAAGAACCTGACCTCAAGCTCAATCTCAAATTTGAAATCGAAGTACTTTGCAAGAATCTGTTGCTCGATGTTGCTGTAAGTAGTTGAAACTTTATATTTGTTAACACACATTTAATACTCCTGACAACCCAACACACTTAACTTTATGGACAGTGTGAACTTTTTGATACATTGTGGCACCGGATTTTATTTTTGTACAAAATGCAGCAATCCCATTGTGTTATGCCTCAGCAGATGAAAATAAACATAAAATATACACAAAGCCAGTTGGTCGACAGGTTACCTGCATCAAGTAACTTGCCTGCTCTACTGGCCTCAACTGAAGTAAACGCACAACACCCATCAGTGTCATAAATCCAACAGTATATCTAAACCTAAATTGTTTAATTCTAGGATCTTAAGCCAGCAGATATCCTGAAGAACCCGTTGTCCATCAAGACCATAGAACACCAGCTGTCTCCTCCGAAACCCAAGACTGACGCTCCGTCCACTCCAGCTCTGATTAACCCACCTCAGACACCACAGCATGGTAAAACAACTGAACATTTTTGTTGTTAAATGTAGTATGAAATTTCTTTTGTTTGCAGTCATGACAAAGTGTGAAGGAATGTCCGGCCATGTCCAAAATATTTGAGAAAGCCATGTACAACCGTTTATATAGCTTCCTGGAAAGTAATCACCTTTTTGAGGACTGTCAACATGGATTTCGAAGTGGTAGATCAGTTGTGACAGCTGCTACAGAGTTTTTAGAGTCAGTTATTGATTGTTTAGATGCAAAACAAAAGGCTCTTGGCATTTTCATGGATTTAACCAAGGCATTTGACTCTATAAACCACAATCTACTTTTAAATAAATTGTCAAGCATCGGAGTAAAAAATAAATCTTTTCAATGGCTAGAATCATACATTTGTAATAGAAAACAATTTGTAGAAACTATCCAATTCAATAATCAAATGAAAATCACTCACAAGTCAAAAATTAGAACTATTAAACATGGTGTACCACAGGGATCCATCTTGGGTCCCCTTCTATTCATTTGCTATGTTACAAACCTACCAGGGCTGACTAAATCTAGCAAACTTTACCTTTATGCAGACGATGTAAATCTTGCAGTTACCGCTAATTCTGAAGAGGAAATTGAAAAGACAGCTAATGCTAATCTAGATATACTTTCAATTTTTTTCCAAAACAATCAGTTACTTTTGAATCCAGATAAAACAAAGTTCATAAATTTTGAGACCCGTCAGACAAGACTTTCAATTAATCCTTCACTAGAAATTAATCAGAAACCTATTGAAGAATTAGAAAATATTAGATTCTTAGGATTTGAAATTGACAAAAATTTAACTTGGAATTCTCACGCAAACAAAGTAATAAAAAAAACTGTATCTGGTCTATTTGCATTAACTAGATTAAAAAATCTTCTTGATCAAGTAACATTAAAATCAATATACTTTTCGTACATACATTCTGTTATTTCTTTTGGAATATCTCTGTATGGCGCTACATCTATCAATAACTTAGAAACAATCCTAAAATTACAAAAACGAGCTATAAGAATTATTTTGGACCTTGACTCGAGAACTTCAAAAGAGCATTTTAGATCATTAAAAATAATGACAGTATATGGATTGTACATCTATGAAACAGTTCTATATGTTAAAAACAGATTTTCTCAATTGGCGTTAACTGGTGAACACCACCACTACAATACCAGAAACAGAACCAACATTGCTCTAAACCGCCACAGATTAGAACTTTACAGTAAAAAACCAAGTTATACCGGCTCCAAATTTTACAACAAAATTCCAAATGAAATTAAATCGGCAAAAAGCATGGTCGAATTTAAGAGGGGTCTTAAAACATTTCTCATCAACAAGGTATTGTATTCCCTTGATGAACTTTAAATTTTTTTTTTGAGGAGCATTCATTTGTAATTTGTATAAACTTATGTTAGATTTTAAGAACTTTGTATCCATAGAATATAACATTGTAATATAAAAACATTTAAGAGAATGACACTATTCATGTACTTTGTGCTTCAATGAATAAAGAAATATTGAATTGAATTGAATTGAATTGAAATAGTTAATCAAATTTGTCTCTAACAGATAATACCAAACATTCCTCATAGATTAAATATTTATCAAAATGGTCCTGACTCAATAGTTTTGTTCAAGTAAAAGGCACTAGGCAAGTATTTTGATTTGTAGGATGAAGGAATAGCAGATAGCTTACCTTAGAAGAAGTTCAATTAGGCTATATAACACAGAAGACACTGCACCTTCAACCTCAACCTTAGAGCCTTATTATGCGTGGCCACTCGACTCGCGCGCGACCGCGACCGTGACTGCCAGTCGCTTGGGGTAGCCACAGGTGTGGTGAGGTCACGTGTCTAACCGAATTTTATACAGACTTGCATGCAGTTTCTCAGAGTGAATAAGTAAATTCAATTCAATTCAATTCAATTCAAAACCACTATATTCATTTCCTGTACATAATACATTGAATAGAAAAGAAATTAAAGAAGTTGAACTAGGTATTTATTTTACATTTACTGTTTTACTTAAGCGACTTAAACGTATACGAAACAAAAGTATTGGGAGGCAATCTGTTACTAAAAGTAAGACCTTAAGGAGTATTTTTTAGTTTTTATATGATGATCTCAGAGAGGATGACAAAATGTATTTTGGTTGTTTTCGGGAGACGAGCTGATGTTCTTTTGATAACCTATTAGGAAGAATAGAAGGCGACTTATCCGTATCGCATAAGAAAATATAATATAAAAATTTTATTTCAGCTAAGGAGAGGCTAGCACTTACCTCAAATTAAATATTTAATGGTTTTAATTTGATATATTTCTAGATTTATAGCCCAGTCAAATTAATGTAATCAAAATACAAAAAATGGCATAGTTTTGCAAAATGGCTTAAAATGTCAGTTAAGGCTTCTACTTTATCATACCAAAAGTCCCCTGACGTGAGACTTGAGCTTTCCCCGCCATCTTGGATTTTAGGTACAATTTCCTGGTTTTTCTAAATTTTCTTCTAAATTATTAATATTTTTTATACCACATGTAACTACAAAATTAAAGTACACAAAATTTACTACAAAAATTTTATTTACAGTTTTCATGTAACTCCAACTGTTTCAGAGAAATATGTAGGTACTTAAATATGTAATTATATTAATTTTTAGGTACATTATTTTGTTTTTCTAAATTATCTCAAAAATTATTAATATTTTACATAGCATATATAATTGTAAAGTTGAAGTACACAAATTTACTACAAAAAGTGTGTTTACTACTGTTTAGTAACTGTGTCTGTTTTAGAAATATTTGCACATTAATATGATAATTTAATTGGTTTTTTTTATTTTACCCTGGATGTGGGCTATTAATGAGTATAGAACATTTCTGTTATAATATAATTCACCCCCTGATGCAATTTTTTGGCAATAGTTATAAACATTAATGCATATTGTTAGATTATTAATTGCATCATCATTATTATTAATATTCATAAAGTACTACTGTATTTATTTATTTTTTTTTGTAGAAAGTAACAACCCTGTTGACAACAATTAATTACAGCTTATTTCTTTTTATATTTAGGGCAGAGCCCTAAGAGAGTTTGTTCATAGTAGTGATGGGCGGATCCAAGAAAATGTCGGTACCGACAGATACACACTGTCATAAGGGCTTGTTAAAAAAACGTAATTAACAGAATACCAATTTAAATCATACCGTTTAAAATTAAATTGGTAATGTTTAAAGGTTAATATATCTTATATATAGAGTAATCTCCACTTGAGCCCATAATCCCTAATTTTTGGGGACACTTAACTTTCCCAAATAAAATGAAACTATTAGTTGATGATATTAGTTGGGCAATGTCACAGTACTGTTTATTACGACGTCAATAACCTGTATGGTTAGGCAATGTCACAGTACTGTATATTACGATTAGTGATGGACAAGACCCGAAACTTCGAGATTTTTTCGAGATTTATTTTATCTCGAAGCTTCGGGCGGGATTAAAATGCTAACGGGATATTTTCAAGACGAGATAAAAAAAAAAAATTTAATTTAAAAAAGATTTTTTAAACTGCTAAGTTTTTTAGCAAAACGTTAATTGCAAACTTTTAATTTAAAATTTAAAAAAAATTAAATTTAACAAAAATTAAAATAAAAACAAATTTAAAAATTAAAAACAAAAATTTTAAAAAATATTTTTGAAATTTTAAATTTAAACAAATTTTAATTTTTTGTTAATTTAAAACATTTGAGTTTTTTTGCTAAACGTAATTTGCAAACCTTTAAATTTAAAATTTAAAATTTTTAAAAATTTTATTAAATTTAAATTTAAAAAAATTAAATAAAAAAGATCAATTTCAAATAAAAAAAAAAATTTAAACTGCTAAGTTTTTTTGCAAAACGTAAATTGCAAACTTTTAATTTAAAATAAAAAAAAATAAAAAATTTAGAAATTTAAAATTTAAATTTTTAAAAATTTTAAATTAAAAAAATATATTTTAAAAATTAAAATTAAAAAAATTTATATTTTTAAAATTTAAAAAAAACTAAGTTTTTTGTGAAACGTACATTGCAACCATTTATTTAAAATTTCAAAAAAATTAAAATTAAAAAAAAAATTTTTTTAATAAAAATTTTAAAATAAAAAAAAACTGCAAAGGCGTTTATTTAATTATTTATTCTTTACAAGGAAATATTGCTTCAATCATTTTATATTTTTTTTGCATAGCAAATGAAAAGTTTTGTTAGTGTAAGCAGTGTGAGACATGTTTTACTACTGTAAACATATAATTTACTCCAAAATCATTCTATTAATAACACAAGACTTAAAATTGTTACTTGATACTTAACTAGTAATACTGTTGTTTTTTATATTTTGCAAAGTTGAACTATATTATACCAACTGACATCTCCATGTTTCCTATGCCGAAGAGTTATTTTTAATAAGTTAGGCCTTATTCGTTTCTTTTATATAGGCTACTGATGTTTTTATCAATGTTTTCAATAAAAGATATTAAATATTTTTGTCTATTTTTTGCCAAGTTCTTAGAACTTGTAAATATATCTGAACTTAAAAAGTAGATATTAATTTTTTATAACTTTTCATTAAATCTCGTCCCGAAAAAAAATCTCGTCCCGCGGGAATTAAAAAAATCTCGTCTCGTCTCGTCTCGAAGTGAAAAATCTAGTCTCGTCCATCACTGATTACGATGTCAATAACCTGTATGGATAGGCAATGTCACAGTACTGTATATTACGATGTCAATAACCTGTATGGTTAGGCAATGTCACAGTACTGTTTATTACGACATCAATAACCTGTATGGTTAGGCAATGTCACAGTACTGTATATTACGATGTCAATAATATTTTGCGCACAACCTAGATTGCAAAAATTCTAAGAAGTTCTGGTCAACACTGTCTAAAAGTGGTGTTTTAGAAAAATGTGAAAAAGAAAGCCCTTGTCAACTTCCTCCAAATGAATTAAATATGTTTTTTGCAAGTATGGGATCAGGTAATAGTATTGACCAAAAGAGATTGGCATTCTATCAGGAAAATTACTGTGGAGAAGTTGAGAATAATTTCAAATTTAGAGCTGTCACCAAAGAGCAAGTTATAGAAACTATGAATAAAATACGTTCAAAGGCATCTGGTATCGATGGCATATCAATTGATATGTTAAAAGGTCTTAGCCCTTATTGTGTCTCAGCAATAACTCATCTGATTAATGTGTCACTAGAAACTGGAGTTTTCCCTGATAGTTGGAAGCAAAGCATTGTGATTCCGCTCCCAAAGTGCTCTAATCCAACTACGAGTAGCCACTTCCGCCCAATATCAATTCTGCCTGTTTGTTCGAAAATCTTAGAGAAAATTGTTGTGGAACAGTTGGTAAGTTACCTGGAGGAGTCGGACATACTTTTAGAATCACAGTCAGGTTTCCGTAGAGGGTTCAGCACCTGCACTGCTCTTCTCAATATGACTGATGAGCTTCTTCAGGCCAAGGACCAAGGGTTGCACAGCTTTATGGCGTCACTTGATTATTCAAATGCTTTCGACTCTGTTCATCACGACATGCTCATATCAAAGCTCAGGTTTCTAAAATTCCATGAGTGTACACTCAAATGGTTTTCCTCATATCTTTGTAACCGATCCCAGGTGACTAAGGTGAATGGTAGGTGCTCCGAGTTGATTCAAAGAGAAGTAGGGGTCCCTCAGGGGACTTGTCTGGGTCCAATACTTTTCATATTGTACACCCATGACCTCGATAGCGTTCTGAAATCTTCCACTTTACATTCCTACGCTGATGATTGTCAACTAGTTCTTTCCCACGCCCCTTTTGATTTTCATGAAGCAGTCAATCTCATCAACACTGACTTGCTAAGGGTAAAGCAATGGTCTGACGATCACGGTCTAAAATTGAATCCTGAAAAGTGTACTGTGCTTCATTTCTGGTCTTCTGGTTTGCTGCCTAAAAATAGTCTTATTGGAAAGGTAGAGCTGGACGGTCAAATTCTTGTGGTGTCTGATTCTGTTAAGGTGTTAGGTATCAGAATTGATTCTCAACTCAATTTTCGCTCACATGTTAGTTACATTTGTCAGAGAGTCTCAAATAGGTTGAGAGTTTTACACCGTTTGAGAGGGATACTATCTGAAAATGCTAAGCTAGAATTGGTCAAATCAACAGTCTTCCCTATTATTCACTATGCACTTCCATCGTTTGGTGAGTGTCTTACTCTTGACTGTAGAGTTCTTCTTACGAGGTTGCAAAACCGAGCCCTGAGGTTTATCTTCAATCTGAGGAAGTTTGATCATATATCTGCCTATCTCAAACAGGCTAAGGTACTCTCTTTGGAAAAACAATGTTTTCTACAAACTATTTTAATTGTTCACAAGACACTGTCTTCTAATTTGCCTCCCTATTTGAAAAGGAAACTTATGCCTCGAACATCAGTTAGGGAACGCCGTACTAGGCAGGACGGCTTGCTTGAAATGCCGAGAGTGCGGCGTGAGATAGGTAAAATGGGGTTCTCATACTTTGGACCCCAGGCATACAACACCCTCCCAAGAAACATGAAAATCATGTCATGTAATTCATTTAAGGCCAATCTAAAGCTAGTTTAGTTCCACTGTTTGTAATTATTCAATTATTGTGTACTTGTAAACTGTTTGTGACTTTGAGTTGTCTTGAAAACCAGTGTATCTGAAGACCGCTTTAACTAAAGGCATTTTATTATTATTATTATTAATAACCTGTATGGTTAGGCAATGTCACAGTACTGTATATTACGATGTCAATAACCTGTATGGTTAGGCAATGTCACAGTACTGTATATTACGATGTCAATAACCTGTATGGTTAGGCAATGTCACAGTACTGTATATTACGATGTCAATAACCTGTATGGTTGGGCAATGTCACAGTAATGTATATTACGATGTCAATAACCTGTATGGTTGGGCAATGTCACAGTAATGTATATTACGATGTCAATAACCTGTATGGTTAGGCAATGTCACAGTACTGTTTATTACGTCATCAATAACCTGTGTGGTTAGGCAATGTCACAGTACTGTATATTACGATGTCAATAACCTGTATGGTTAGGCAATGTCACAGTACTGTATATTACGATGTCAATAACCTGTATGGTTGGGCAATGTCACAGTAATGTATATTACGATGTCAATAACCTGTATGGTTAGGCAATGTCACAGTACTGTTTATTACGTCATCAATAACCTGTGTGGTTAGGCAATGTCACAGTACTGTATATTACGATGTCAATAACCTGTATGGTTAGGCAATGTCACAGTAATGTATATTACGATGTCAATAACCTCTATGGTTGGGCAATGTCACAGTATTGTATATTACGATGTCAATAACATCTATGGTTAGGCAATGTCACAGTACTGTATATTACGACGTCAATAACCTCTATGGTTAGGCAATGTCACAGTATTGTATATTACGACGTCAATAACTTCTATGGTTGGGCAATGTCACAGTACTGTATATTACGACGTCAATAACCTCTATGGTTAGTCAATGTCACAGGATATGCCTCATAATTCTATTATAAAAAAATATAATCTCGAATCCCGATCTTTTCTTAAGATTCGGTGGATTCGAGATCCGGATTCGACACATCCCTAGTCGTAATATACAGTACTGTGACATTGCCCAGCCATACAGGTTATTGATGTTGTAATATACAGTACTGTGACATTGCACAACCATAGAGGTTATTGGCGTCGTAATATACAGTACTGTGACATTAAGTAAAAAATCGGTCTTTTACATGGATACAGACTGTGTTAGTAAAAAAAAATCAGGGAAAATCAGAAAAAATCGGATCCAGCCCAAGATCCGTAATTTTTTGGATCCAATCCGGTACTGGTTCTAGCTCGTATCCGGCGGATCCGGTTGTCAGATATACGGATCCGACCATCACTAGTTGTTTCTCTATGACTGAACTGAAACAGCTGTCATGAGTTTGCAAATGGCAAATGAATTATTTAACCTGTTTTGGTTTTTTGTTGTTTGTTTTCTGTGCGTGCATAGTGAGTGAGTTTGAGTTGTTCAAAATGGATATGATCTCCGACTCGTTCTAGTGATGTGACGAACTCCATGACTTTTTTTTTTGATTCTTTAAGTAATTTAAGTGATATTGATTATGACAATATTGAAGATGACTTTGAGTTTATAACTCAAGCAATATGGAACATTCATTGTAGCCTAGATGTACGAATTATGAATTCTTATGAAAAAAAAAAAACTCTGAACATTTTAGGCCTACCTAAATTGGTGATTGTGCTCAATTAATTATTATTATCAATTAATTATTAATTTAATAAAATATGTTAAAATTCTTGTCTTCTTGAAATAGCCCTATCTTTTTTTCTTTTTGGCTAACCTAATCTATGTAACTTTAATCAATACAATGCAGTTATCTTATTGTATAAAGATTGAATAAAGTTATATCATAAGTTCATAAGTTATATGTGTTATTAAATGAATTTTTAACAGGTATCGGTATCGAGTGCGGAATCGAGAATCGAAACCAAAGTTGTAGAATCGGTATCGGAATCGACCAATTCAGGAATCGGCCCATCTCTAGTTATAAGGTTTGCCAAAAGGGTGCAGCACTGTTTTTTTTGCATTTATGACGACAGTTAATTTGAAACAAGCAGTGACAAAAAGGCGTGATACACAATGAGAAATGTCAAAGTTTGTCAGTTCAACTGTTTTTCAAAGTTTTGTTTATAAAGCTGGCTACAATTAATATTGCACAGTGGTTGGAGAGGATCTCAGTGGGATGGTGGTGGTTAGCAGCACCCCTGCCCCTGTCTCTACCCCTACCCCGACACTGGTGCCAACAAACCCTCCGGAGCCACGCTTCAGCTACGCAGCTCTCAACACTGCAAACATAACCAGCATCGCTCCTCTCATCACCATCAACAGTCAGGTAACTATCTCAGATACAGTAGAACCTCACTAATTCGAACCTCGATAATTTGAAAACCTCTATAATTGGAAATCTTGTCTGTTCCCCTCAGAAAACCTCTAAAATTCGAAAAATAATATACCGATAATTCAAAGTGATTTTACGCTTATGCAGCCTCTACAATTTGAATTTGCACATACTCGAGCCTCTACAATTTGAATTTTGTTTCCGTAATTCGAACTGCTACCTCCAAAATTTTAAGTACAATTTACAGTACCTTTACAATTCGAACTGTGTTACAGTAAGCCTCTGTAATTTGAATTCAGGACAAAAAATACACCTGTTGAAACATGAACTGATGCTCTTATTGATGTTCCTACGATGTGTTCATTAGTCTCCGTTCTCTCAAACTCTCTAACACCATAATTCGAGTTTTATTTATTCTAACCTCATAAATCAAACTCTATATTTCAAACTTCCCATATTTCGAAATATATTGTCTTTCCTCTGAAATTCGAATTAGCGAGGTTCTACTGTAGAATGTTCCTAGTACTTCCTTCCTTCTGAAGAAGCCCCCTCCCTTGTGGGGGCAAAATATAGTATTCATTTTTTCTGCAATACAATAATTTACAAGTCAAACATTTTTATTCAACTACCTTTAGTTATGGTTTTATTCACTACACTTCTTCAAGTAGCTTTGTGACCCAATTATTACATATAAACATTCAAATATTATTTTAAATACTACTGTTCTAATTGTACTTTTTGACTGTTTATGATATATCACTGTCGTTCATTATTATTAGATGCCACATGGTTATTACCTGCTGCACACCAAAGACCCCCCTAAAACCCTTACTATATATCGTATTCAAACAATTGTACAGTTTGGAAACTTTCCCTGGAGAACCAAAAATCCATAATTGGCGATGACGGTTCGTATCCTTGTAACGTAACTAAACCCAAAACCTGTGAGATGAACCGTCCATCACAAACCTTCACCAGCTTCACCACTCAAGAATAATACGAAATCAAATGCCACTTGTCAAAACTCCAATCTCATATTCCAATTTCTGTGGCGACAATGCCCAGCCATATAAATAAGCCAACCAACAGTCTTTGCACTCGAATGAATGGACACAGACAAGGTGTGAAAGAAGGCTTCAAAGACAAACCAGTCCCAAAACATGCAACCAATCACAATACCAATAGTTTCAACCAGTGTTTCATTTCAAAAGTTTTAAGAGCCTTACCACCTGACTGCAATCTCTCCCATTACAGAAGGTATACTGTGGCAGGGGCCCGAAGGACTCAGAAGGATTAGGCGACCTGGCGACCCTCACTACCACACACACACACTCTCACGCGTCAGGGTCCGACCTTTTTACCTGGCTGACTCATCCCTTTAATAGGCTTTTACATTTTTTTTATTTGGTTCTGGAAGTTTTTGGTTTTGCTATTTTCAAAATCAAGGCAATAAAAATTAATCTAAACATGGTATGATAATTCTGTTCAAAGGAATAACTGTGGATTGTAAAATATGGATAACTGCGGCCATTTTAATTTTTTCTTATGGTAATAGTGATACAATTTTGAATGATTAATTCACAGTTTCAATTTATTATCTTGATGGTATGAGTTTTTTGTAATTATTTCAACATGCAAATTGAAAACAAAATAATAAAAGATGTTTAACACGTTTGCTACTGCAATAGTACGAAATTTTTCATTCACATTGACCAGCGACGCACATATGCGACGGCTAGTCACATTAAAATAGACTGCCGTCGCATATTTGCGTCGGGGTTCTTATGTTATTCAAATGCTTATATCTTTGTAACGGTCTATTTGATGGCACTGAATTCCCTGCAGTGGTCTACAGAAATGTCTGACGCACAACTGCGTCGCTTGGTCTGTGGATATGATGATTGGTGACATCATATGATAGTTGGAAAAACTGGTCTTTACTTTTCTCTTTCTGCATCACTGTATGTATGTGTATGCCGTATGTATACAGCATTATCCTATGTAGCTTTTATATTTGTTCAGTTATAAACTTTTCTTGAATAATCTGTTTTTTTTTTTTTTTTTTTTTACTTTCACCTCAAAACACAAACAAAAATGAACTGTCGCATAGATGCGACGTTTGGTCTATTTCAAGAAAACTATGATAATTTTCACTATTGTCTTCGCTGTAGACCGGGCGTCGCAAATATGTGACATTAAAAAAAGGTTATAAAAAATACAAAAAAACAAGAATAAATTATTTACAAACAAGATTGTAGCGTATTACGATGTAAATGCCAAAGATGATATGATGTGTAACCAAGTGACAGCCGGTCTATGTGTAAGATTCAAATGTATACCTCAGTCTGTGGCAATGACTGCGGCGTCGCATCGAGCGTGTTAATGCTTTAACTTGAAGTAACATTCACTTCTCATCAGAACAATAAAACGCACTCTCAATATTATTTTCTCCACGACAACAAGAATCAATAAATATTATCCAAAGACAAACAAATTAATATGTTCACAATATCAAACAGCTGATAACTAATTTATATTACAAGCACATTTTTAAAGTTTCAAACAGGATTTACAAACAGTCCTACTGGTCACTGAGATTTTAATTTTGAGATTCCTAGCTACTGGTGTCTGAATCAGCCCCTTGTATGCACTTGCTTGGAAGTCATAAGTACAGTTACCAAATGAAAGCGTAATTGTTATCACAATGACATAATTGATTGTGTGTAAATATTTAGTAATAGTTTTGTTGTAGACGAACAATCGCCTTGATGAACTGTTATTAGATTGTTATTGTTACTAAAGTTTTTTTTTTTTATATTTTTCCGCAGTATTATTTTCCATATGTAAATAATTAAGTTACCAATATGCAAATTTTTATAACCAAAAATTATTAATTGTTAGGTACATTTACTTTAAACATAATTAAAATCAATAGCATTTACTGGAAAGACAAAACTCACACCCAATTAACTAAACTTTACATAGTTTTACAAGGAAAATACTGCTGTTTTATTTTGTATGATTTTAGTACTGGGGATTTATGTGTTTGATCGATCGATAGGTTTACTTAGTGATATCTAATGAACTGACTACTTTTAAATTGTTATGTACAGTGCCTCATAGTTTCTAATCCTAATAGTTATCATTTTTGCTAAGTATATAAAACTGAAAAGAAAATGGTTGGCTATTTACCGTACTATTAAAGTTTTTGTAAAAATATCATGTTTGGACCCTTATTTTCTGAAAATTTTTATTTACCTATCTTCATTTTAGTACAAAACTAACGTTATGAACAACAAATATTAAAAGTTTCAGTAATTGAGTACACTGACATTATATGAGTCACGCACCACGGACGGACAATAGGACAGGTCCCATTGTGTCCGTGCCGGTGAATTTGCATGTGATGGCGAAGGGTCGCCTAATCTTTCAGCGTACATCTGGCTCCTGCCAAAGTATAGGATCCCTCATATAAGTGGTTTACTTAGTAATGTATTTGTTTTAGCTGGCCCTGTTCCAAGCCCATCCTCAACTAAAGCAGATGGTGAGGCCAGCAATTGAACGAGCAATCGCAGAGTGGATCAACCCTGTTGTTGAGCGATCTGTCAAAATAGCCATCACCACCTCTGAGCAAATTGTTAAAAAGGTAAATAACTTTTCTCTGTTTTTGTTGAAAAGCTAATCAAGCTTTTCAACAAAAACAGAGAAAAGTTATTGATAGCAACAAAACGAGTAGAAAATGCAAAAAAGTAGGGGTCTGCGGATCCTGATATTTTCAGGTCGTTTTGGGCCAATAGTCTGCTCAAAGGATTGGTTTGGGCCAAAAATAAATTACCATGCCAAGCTCAGGTCAGGATCGAGCCAAGCGTTTGCCAAGATGTGCGATTTTGCTGCAATCGTGAGTTATGATCACGGTTTTTCAACAATTATAGGAGATGTCCACAATTATTTCGCTGTTACTGTGAAAGATGTTCATAATTTCACCATGTTAAGGGGAAGATCATGTACATTATTGTAAAAAAGGATTGCAGTATTGTTATTAGACTAATATTTGATTGTAGTATTGGTTGTAGGGCCGAGAGTCAAATCTGTTTAACCAACCGAAAAAAGGCTGGCCTGTAGACAAGTAATGAGTGTAAAGAAATCAAATAAATACTAAAATAGAAAGAGAATTGGTGATTCCAGAAAGATTCTGTACTTAGTTTAGTTTGTTGTGTGCAGGACTTCTCTCTGGACGCAGATGAGGTACGAATGAGAGCCGCAGCCCACCACATTGTACGCAACTTGACTGCTGGAATGGCTATGATTACTTGTAGAGACCAACTGTTGCTGTCCATCAACTCCAACCTCAAGACTGTCTTCCTCAGTAACCTGATGGTAACTAACTAGAATATTTCAATATAATATTCTAATTCATCCAATTTAATTTGTCACTGATTTTAATTGAAATGCATTCCAATTGACAGTGTTTTGTCCCCAAAATTGCAGTCTCTACAAGCAGTTAATAATTTTACATTCAACCAAATTAGGAACAAAAATAAGAAAGTCGTCTAGTTAAAAAGTTGTTGATACTTGTATTCTACAACTAGAAGAGACTAATAATCAACTGTTTGAAATTACATCTTTGACTTAAAAAAAAAACATCGTTAAATTTTGTTAAAAGAAAGGTCAAGGTCAGTAGAGGTGTGGGGATGGTGACATTTCAGACCGGATTCGGGTTGGATAATTATAAGGCTTAGTTTGGGTTGGATCCAATGGTGAGTGGTCCGATTCGGATACTTTTACGTTCAAGTAATTGAAAAATTAATACAGTAGAACCTCGAATTACTAGGGCCGGATCAACCTTGGTGAATAGATGCCTCTGAAATTGTGTTAAAATAATGGACACCAAGTTGATTGTATTGTTGAAAGACAAAATAGGTAACTGTCCATATGAACTTGAATTTGTTGTTAATTTGGGTATATTTTAAAGGAAAGCAAAGTGGCTGATTAGGATTAAAAAAAGAAAAAGAAATATTGAGTCGAGCTAAATCACCTGAGAAAGTTTGAGTCAAGTCCAGGAGCTAATAGAAAGAAGTCACAAAATACTGAAATTTTGTTTGTATAATTTCTTTAACTTTGTCAGGCAAGTTAGCTGAACTCTTTACCACCTTAAAATATCCTTGTGTAGTTAATTTGGTGGATTTGAAACTTGTTGAATATATCATTACTATGTCTGATTGTAGTCAGCCAATCAGCAACAGAAAGACATGGTAGAGCAGGCAGCTACAGTCACGGCCCAGGATAACATGGAGCTGGCTTGTGCTTTTATACAGAAGACAGCCATTGAGAAGGCAACACCTGAGGTTGACAAACACCTGATCACTGTGAGTATGAAGACTTGATAAATAAAATTATCTATATTTTCCTAAGCTTTCCATTATTAGTTACTAAGTTTGATATTCTCCATTGTCCCAATATTTTAGAGTCATTAGTTACTTGTTTGACCCTTGGTCATATACTAGAATATGGATAAAAGTCCTTGTATAAGTCTCTTTCCTAGTTAAGCGGCAAGAGGTGAGTCACAAGTACAAGGTTCAGCCCCTTGCATACGTGATGCATATTGGGAACTGCTTTTTGTTGACAATTTCTTCTTTATACTAAACTATAGGTGTAAGTGTTATGATATATATTGTCCAACATGAAATCTTCCTAATGTCAAATAAATGTTTCAATTTTTTATACTTGACTTGTAGAGGAGACATTTCCAGAGACATTATTGCATTTGCATTATTACGTTGTGGCAGAGCTGCGAATATCACGGAGACATCGTCATTTCCCACATAAAGGAGACATCTTGAACTTGTGATAGTGTAATCTTGGCAAACCTTTTCTGCAATCGTAAAAATATAAGGTTATCTTGACTTCTGATTTTTTACTCAGTTTCTTGAGCGTTTAGGCTTGGTTCAGCTCGACAATCGAGTTGCTTTGCACACAACTTTAGAAAGAAGGCCTTAAATCAAGTCAAGACAGATCAAATAAAGAACAGATTAAATTCAAATATATTGATTCATCAAATACATTGGCTTGGCCTCGCCAGGTTTACAAAACTTGATGGCAAGGTCCAATTGATTCAAAAGTATCAGACAAACGATTTCTGTCTTTTTTTTTAAATCTTTGTTTTTAAAGAACAAAATATATAATTTTTATTTCTAAGGTGTAACTGTTAGATTTGTTTACTTATATTCAAGTCTGCAATTGAATTATTCAAATATCATTTTTCATCTATACCAGTCCAGCAAACCTTTACAGAGTTTAACATAGGTTCTCGGATAAGAACTATGCCTATAGTGTGACAACCATCCTGCTGTTCTGTTGTAGGAATATGAGAGACGCAAGCACGCTCGTGCAGAAGGACGCCGCTACTGTGACTCTGCTGTGCTGACGTACCAGGCAGAGCGCATGCCAGAGCAGATCCGTCTCAAGGTCGGAGCAGTCACACCGCAGCAGATGGTGGTTTACGAGGAGTTTGCCCGCAACATCCCAGGCTTCCAGCCACTCTCGGAGCGTGATGCTGCTGTGTTCATTCCCAAACCTGTACCGGTAAGTTACCTGTAGTAGCATTTTGGATTAGTTAGGTGGTTTTAGTTTCATTAGTTAGGTTTGTTTTGCTGTTATAACCAAAGAACAGTAGGAGCAGAAGAATTTTGAGTTGTCAGTTTAATAATGTCTAAATACCTAGTCACAGAAGATTATTTTCTTTGACCGTTCTGTTCAACCACATTTTAATCTCTAGCAGCCTCATAAATAATTTAATCACATTTTTGGCAATTAGTATTATATATTTAATAACAGAATTTATTATTATAATTTGTTCTGTATTGACTAAACAACTGGTATTGCTGACATATGATTATTTCATCTCGAATATAGCCTACATATTGTCATAATTAGAATCATGTTAATTGAGTATTTAATTGTGTTTAGGAACCAATTTCGGTTGTCTCAACATTCCAGAGTGCTCCTGCTCAGATGGTAAGTAAATAAGTTATTTGAATAGGTTGAACAATTTTAGTAAAAAGGCTAAACATTTTCTCATTCATTTAACAGATACATTAACAACTCAACTTGGAAGGTCAAAGCTTCTAACTAAGGAACTGCTGTTTCATAAATATCATTTTTACAATTTTTTTAATGCAAATAAATATTGATTTACATAAAACTAACTATGATTTAAAATCAAACCAAATTTCTATTACTTGTCAGGGTACATTTTTTTGTACACTGAATATATATCTTGGATAATTATTAACATTAGCCCTTAAGCGTGCACACTATTTTTTTTTATGCTGCTGCACGCACATGGACCCTCCCCAAAAAATGGGCAAATAAAAAAAGTTTTTGATATTTAGTTCTTTAAATTGTAGACATAATATTAGGGATGGACGGGTCCTGAGATTTCGGGAAAAAAATATTCCCTATTATCGGGATGAGATTACATTTTATTTGGGAAATTTTTGGGATGGGATTTTGTCCGATCGTCGACGATTTTGCTGCTTCGCGAGTGACGATGACGCCGTTATTGCGAGAGATGTTCACGATAGATCCGCGAACTCAGGAGACAAAGTCATTTCGACGATTGCGCCGTGATCGCGCGGAGTCATAACGACGATTGCGCCTTGACCGCTATTCTTACTGACGATCGCGCTGTGACCGCGGAGTCATAATGACGATCCCGCTGTGACCGCGGAGTCATAATGACGATCCCGCTGTGACCGCGGAGTCATAATGACGATCACCCCGTGACCGCAAAGTCAAAACGAAGATCGCACTGTGACTGTGGAGTCATACGACGATGGACGATCATGCAGTGATCGCGAGTCATACCGACGATCATGCTGTGACCGCGAGTCATACCGACGATCACCTCGTGACCGCGGAGTCATACCGACGATCACCTCGTGACCGCGGAGTCATACCGAGGATCACCCCGTGAAAGCGGAGTCATACCGACAATCACGCCGTGACCGCGAGTCTTACCGACGATCACGCTGTGACCTTGAGTCATACCGACGATCACCCCGTGACCGCGGTCATTTTGACAATCGCACCGTGACCGCGGTCATTTTGACAATCGCACCGTGACCGCGTGTCATTTCAACCGCGAGTCACAAGTTCCTATAGGTACCTGTAAATTGTTACCCATTTTTTTGGTTTTTATAGATCAGTGTCACAAATGGTAAAAATTTATTTTGTTTGCCTTTATTGTTAACTGCAATTACTCAAGACTTTCTTTTTATGCTCAGAAAAAATCCCGTCCCGTCCCGCCCGAAAATTGGGAAGGAAATAAAAATCCCGTCCCGAACTAAAAATTCAATCCCATCCATCCCTACATAATATCTAAATTCATTTTCTCATATTGTTACGTAAACTTTATGATCCTACCATATCCTTTAACTATTTTGAAAATAATAGTTTGAACCCTCAATTTTTTCATGATGAAATGTAATAATGGTGTTGAAGAGAGGAAAATCATAGTTAAACAAGTTTTTATTGCAAACAAATATTATTTTTAATTAAAAAAAAAGTATAATACTTGTAAAAAACTAAATGTAATCATATATATATATGGGTTTTCAATGGAATTTAAATTTATATGTAGTTAGTTATTAAATAAGCAATTTTTTATTCAGAGTGTTGTATGGGTGATAATTATCCATCTCAGGGGTTGTGGCGTAAGGTGAGTAATGAAATGGGGTTGTGCTGTTTATTAGGTATCTTAATAAAACATGCATGTGTCCAGTCAAATTTCGCCACAGGGTGTTAAAATAGATGCGCCATTAATCTACTGCCCATACACTGTTAAAACTAGTTCACTGCTGTTTTTCAAATTAATTTTTATTAGCTGTTTCGCTGTATCCTTTTTTTTATATTCTGATGACATTTTTCTGAAGCTTAGTAAATTATCCAAAATTTACATTGCAGTCGAACCATAAAGGTACAAACAATTAACATGAATGGATTTTAGCAAAATATATGTTTTTATTGAAAAACCTTTCAAAGTCGCTAACTGTACTTATGTGTTGTCAAGGTTTTCAACGCTGGGGACGAATTCAGCGTTGTTTACGAGAAACACGCAGCAGAACTGGACCATCTGATGCAAGCCATCATATCGTCAAACCAAGGTGGAGTGTTGGGACCAAACAGCAACAGTCAGGTGACCAACATTGCTGCGATCATTGACTACTTGATGTTGGCACGGCGCACACGTGAAGCTCTGCCCACCGTCACTCTCATACAGAAGGTAACTAACACATCATAGAGTGCCAAATTGATCACAACGTTATTAAAAGACTAAAAAGAACTCACTCATTTTAAATTTGGTTGTTTAGCAGAAGGACCAAAGAAACATCTATTCAACACTTGTTTTTTTGGAGGAAAAAGCACTTGGCCAAGTGATAAATTAAGGAAGAAAGAATAGATACACACAACCAACTTACCTAAGAAAGGAATTCCAGGTATTTGAAACCACTCTAAAAGTTTGCAAAACTTATTTACCTACCTCCGTTTTTTATACTAGCCGTTTCAGTTCAGTTCTTACTTCTTAGAGTGGAAAAGATTCATTGAACGACATTGTTTACTTACTTAACATCATTGTTTTACTTAACAACACGAGTAACGGACCAATAAAGTTTAAGGATTGAGAGAAAATAAGTAAAATTGTAATGCTTCGAACTTCAACTAATCAGTAGGGGTGGGCGAGTACTCGACTGTCGAGTAATTACTCGAGTAGTTGGCAATACTCGACAGTCGAGTCGAGTAGTTAAAGATACTCGTGACTCGAGTCGAGTAGTAGACGTTAAGCCGATTTCGTTATTTTCATTGATATTTGACAAATAAATAGTAAGAAAGGAAAATGTTTGAGTTTTATTTAATCCCTTAACCCCTTTAAATATTGACATACTAGGCCTACTAATAATCGGCAACCTAGACATCGCTTGCGTCATCCATTTCATTGACAGCGACAGCGCCGAACCGACCCGCCGCCGACAGCTGACACTGGGTCACTGGGTGATTGGCAGTGGTGTAGGTGTGCGAGTGCGATGCATCGAATCCCGATTCGATCCAGCATGCATCAAAATCCCGATGCATCGATTACGTCACGATACAGCTCTACTAGTAAAAAGGGATGAGTCGATTATCGTCATCGATACCACCGATACTTGGACATTGGTATCGGTACCAAGACTCAATTGTCAAAAGTCGATTCCGATGATACCGACATCCGACAGGGATAAATATTTTATTTTAACATTTATTTACTGTATAGCTACAGAATTAGTTTTGTAATCACGGTTAACAATTTTCATAGCCAACTTAGAAACTATCTAGTTCAAAACAGCGACGGTGCCGGTGCCATTGTTTAGCTTCAGCATTGCACAACACAATCTACGAATCTACATTTCAAGATGTCAGACTCAACTCAAGAGACAACCGGCACGCGAATGTCCCGCCAACACGAAATTAATTATACTAAACAATGTCTGTATCAATAAGTCAGACATTTAGATGTATTATTTTTATTTTTAGTACAAAATAAATAACATAAACACGTCGAAATTGTCAGTTTAATAATCCCTGCATTAAACGCATCATTAGTAAAATTATATTCAACCATTAAACTTTAACATCGTCGTATGGTTAAGCTTGCTTTATATTGCGCCAAAAAGTAGATCCATATTTTGATCTGTACTATCTACTGATTAAAGAGTTTAGTGAAGTTTTAAGTGCTACTATAACATAATGTATTTATTGAAAAATATTATAAGCCTTAGTCCGTGTCGATTTTGTAATGTTATAACGAATGGTGAATGTTGACAATAAAAGTATGTAACAACAGTTCTCATTGGTCAGGAGGCGTCAGTGCACTACCATGTCAGCCAATCGACTTTTGTGTTTCAATGGAGCAAATGACGATTGCTTTGACATCGTTTAGTGTTTTATTGTGGGTGGAAAGGGTATCGATAAATATCGTGATTCGAGATCCGATATGTAGGACGTGTTTGTTTATAAATAATGAGTATTTAAGTATAAAAAACTAGGTTACAGACATGTTCAAAACTTCGATTGTTCCGATCCATTGTTGACACCCCTACACGGAGGTTATAGTGACGTCTCTGACGTCGTGCATAAGGGCCACTGCAGTGTTTCCATTCGCGGGATTATTATCCCGAAAACGGGATTTTTAGACCTTGAGTGGGATTAAAACGGGATGCGGGATAAAACGGGATTTTCGGCTGTGACGACTATTTTTATTTTTTCCATTTAATTTTAGAGAAAAACTAACTCAAATTGATTAAATACTGTAGTAAAATATAATAGTGATGTTAAAACAACTTTATAAACATGATACGCCAAGTATTATACTAGATTGTACAAAAATAATCATGCGGGATAAAACGGGATTTTTCACAATTTTAAAGCGGGATAAAACAGGATTTCTCGACCCAGTAAGAGGGATTATTGTTTTGGTCGTGTGGAAACACCAAGCAGGCCGGTTCACAGTGAATCCATTCTGCCGAACCTATACTCTTGGTATAATCGGGAACATAGTCAAACACTTTTGTTACTAAATAAAACTATGAAATGTTTGTTAAAAGCACTCTTTTGGTCTTTTGGAGATTTTAGTCCCAAAACATAATCTTTATTGTAGGCTAAAAGTAAAACCTATCTATTGCCATACTTTTCTCCACAGACGTCGTCTTAGGCTATTATGCAATGTCTTTAAAAAATACCAGGGTTTCAGGTTTCAGTCAAAATACTTTTGTAAACATTGACAATGTGCTGTTTTAGCACAGTTCATTCCTTGACCACGATCGTTTTTACTCACTAGAGAAAAGACTCTCCTTACAAAATGTATTTGTAGGCCAAGATGTTTGTAATTTTTTTAATGTATAACTGCAATTGCTTTTAAAAATAAATACAAAAACTGACAAATGACTTAGATTAATACTTAAAAAGTTAAGCCTATTTATAAATTAGAGGAAACTTTATTAGATCTCATCATAGTCAAATTCAAACATTTACAGTATTTCAAAATAATTAACACTCTTGTGTAATGGAAATCTGCAAGCGACTGAGGCCGAGGGTGAGGGAGGGCATGTGAACCAGGCTTTAGAACAAGGGCAAATTCTGCAAAACTTTCTCTTTTCCTCCCCCTTGTCCCGTTAGACGGTGGGTGGGGCTTCACTCAATAAACAGTTCATTCATTCACAGTAGAGAAGAGTTTTTGTGGCAGTGACGTACGTCTCTTGTCTGCTCTTCAAGTTCACACATCTGGACTTCTTTAAAACAATTATAAGTGATAATCTTTATTAAAAATAAGTGAAAAACTGTTGACATTTTCAAGGGGAAAAATTTGAGAAGTAAAAGTGTTAAAAATTTTGTTTGATTAGTTATTCTGTATTTCAAAAATATCCTCATTTATGATTATGTTTTCAGCTAGACTTGGTGACTTTTTCATAGTTAAACAAATTTTGAAGATATATAATTAGTGAGAAAATGTCATTATATAGGAAGTTAGTTTTTACTCACTTGGGGGAAAAAACTTACCCTACAAAGAGTATTTGTAGACCAAGATGTAGGCTACGTAATTTAAAAAAAAAATTATAAACTAATGAGTTAACTAAGACAATTTCATGGAATTTCAAATAAATACAAAAACTGAGAAATGACTAAGATAAATACTTATAAGCCTATTTATAAATTAGAGGAAACTTTATTAGTTCTCATGCTTTAGTCAAATTCAAACATTTACAGTAGGCCTATTTTAAAATAAACACTTAGTTCCATATTTTTGCATTTTTTTGCAATTAATAATAAACCTTTAACACCAAAATATAAGTTTGATACACATACATATTGTGTTTTTATATGGTATAAACGTTTTTAACCAGGTCTATTTTTGGTGAATTGAGAAATGCTTTGTTCGTAAAAATGAAGATGAAGGTTTTTTTCCACAGCTATATGTAAAATAAAATTGTTGATTTTCTCGTGAACTACTCGACTCGACTCGACTCGATACTCGAGTATTAGGGCTAATTACTCGGCTCGACTCAAAAAAACACTACTCGCCCATCCCTACTAATCAGCTGTTAAGACCAATTTAATTATTAATGAGTGGTGCAATTAGCAGTGGGGCACACGGGAGGGATTATGGCTAACATATCTTGTAGTGTCAGCGTTCGCCGCTAGAACCGCTAAGTTGAAAAAATTGAAATTAATTTTATAATTTTTAGCTATATAAAATTAAGTTTTTAATTTTAAAATAAATTTTTAATCATAAAATAAATTTTAAAATTTTTTATCATAAAATTTAACTGTCATAACCTAACCTAACCAACCAAACTTGCTGATAATAAAGATGACGTTTCCGTGGCCGCGGGAGACGACAATGACATTTCCGTGACTGTGGGAACAGAAAACATACTACTATAACCCAGAATGCCAACCGCATGGTAAAAAGCATTATGTACTTTGAGAGAGCTTTGCCTGTCAATTCGTAGGCAGCGCCACCAGCGTTGCTATGCACTCAGCATACCATGCGGTTGGCATTCTGGGTTATAGTAGTATGTTTTCTGTGCTGTGGGGGACGATGATGATGTCCATACTCCAAATGGCGGCGGGATTTTTTTAATGATTTTGATTTTTAATGAAATTTTAGTATGAAAAGTACAACCTGAACTACCTGGAATTTTTTTTACTCATGATTTCTTTTTCTTGTTGGCCTGGTGAACACCCTTTGTAGGCAACTCGTGTAAATAGTCTTATCGATATTTACAGTCTAGCTTAGGTGCACGACTCGCCAGGGCTCGTACCTTAAATTTCTACTCATGTCGTTTACACGGTATCCTTGCGATCAATGCGTAAACTACTACAAGTCTATTGTGTTGTAAACTTTTTGTGTGCTTTAAACAGGGTGTCTACCAACCAGGAAAACCGGGAATTGTACTTAATTTTTTACTGGCCATGAAATGTACGGGAATTGTCCTTAAATGCCAGACTATGTCCTTAAATTTTTAATGGGCCATAATTTTATCATCAAGTGTCAAGTCAAGTACTTCCAAGAACTGTTGACTCAGTAGTAGTTTAGCTCATAAAAGTTGTATCACTTTTATTCCTTTACAACTATTTATTTATTACTAGGGTAATCATTATTAGATCCCAAACATATTTTATCATGGAAATAATAGTTTTATAATGGCTGTTAAATTTCACTTCTTACTTGTACTTCAATATGCCGCTGGCCATTGCCTAGTGCCATAAAACTGTTTATGGTTTCATATAAAACATGTAACTTATCTTAAACATAACTAAGTTAAACCCTTTTTTTATGGTTATTTTATCTTTCAATTGACAAAACCAAAAGCATTGTTGTTTGCATTAAATTTTTATCACTACGTAGGCCTACTTGGTTTCAAATTATGTCATTGCATTTTCTGTATCTTTGTATATTGTTGGCGGTCAGGTTTCAATTTTTCTTATTTCCCATATTTATTTATTGCGTTGTATGCTTTAAGCAATCTAAATCTTATGAACTAGAATGATGATATTGTAGTGACTTTGCTGATATTATAACCTCATTGTTTGTTACTCAGTTTATATAGGCCCTCCTAAATAATTAGGCCTAGGCCTGGGTATTTTGATTCTTTGAAAGTGCTGTAAAATATACTAAGAAAATGTAATTGAGCCTAAGATAAACTAATGATTGCTATGTGTCGATATTAACTTTGCAGATAAAATGACAATAATTTTACTCTGTGCTTACTGGTAGCCGCTTACCATACCGATTTTGTACCTAGAACTGAGTTACAATATATTCATTATGCATTAAAGATTTTTTTTTCCAAAAGTAGTCGAGAACCTAACGTTGTGCCAGGGCGAATAATGCCAAATTAATCCGCCTGGATCGGATAAGCTATGTTATGATGTTTCCGTGACCGATGGAGATATTTTGGATTTTGTCGCTATTGCAGGAGACAATGATTGCGTTTTTCTGTTACACTATAAAAGCTGTACCTAAAGTATATGTTTGTTTACTTTCAATAAGTTTCTATTTTGAAATTTAATTTTGTCTATTATTATTTACTTTTCTCTCTGGAACAACTACAATGAAGAACAAGATTAATACAGTTTGACAAATCAGGAATATTATTCTGTAATCATACCGACAAAGGTCCTTAAATGTACGGGAATTGTCCTTGAATTTTTTATCCAGAATGTAGTATACACCCTGTTTAAACTACCTCGAACTCTTTTCTTAGGTAATCCATTTGTGTATCCATTTCTTCCTTAATGTTGTTGGATTTAAGATTTTAAGACTTTGTATTTTTATTAATCTACTATGAAATGTTAAAATTTTGTGTGTATAGGCCTAATATAATTGTATTTGCGATTGAGATGTCTCACCTATTTTTCATGTAAGCCTACTCTTCCCTACCCTTAAAAACAAAATCAACCGAAATGGCAAAGTTGTATTCCAAGAACTTAGGAAATTTGCCAAAAGATAAAAATAACCATTAAATGAATAGACAAGTTGACACAATGAGTTGGAATCATTGCCTGTTAAATCATTATCAGACAAAGAAAAGAGTTAAGGTGAAAGAATTGTACGCTGATGGTTATTTATTGTTGCTAAAGGTAGGCCAGTGGTCGAAAACTCAACCTAAAATATCTAATGTACAGACTTCTCTATTTTCACCACATGCTGTAAATAAAACATGTGATTGTAATTTCTTCCATTTGTTTTGATTTTCTATTTATATTTCGTTGTTATTGTTATTTTGTCACCAGCATGGCAATCCATAAGTCCCATGTTATTTAAAAAAAAAAATGTTTAAATAATTTGTTGTACTTATTTTTGAGCCTATTTTAATTTATAAAAGGATTCTGTACACCTACAGAAAAATATCTTTTTAACAGTAGGTCTATTCGTAGGTTTCCCCTACGATGCACACGAGCTGAGAAAAACGGTTTTTAAAGAAACATGCTTGCCTATTAATATATACATTTATATTGTTTTGTTTCTGTTTGGTTATTGTTCTATTTATTTGTTTGTTAGTTTAATTTGTAGTTGACAAAAGTTGTCCTGAAAAGCAGGTGTACTGAGATTACGCTTGATAAATAAAGGCATTTTTGTATATATATTTATGTTATACTTTTTTTATAACTTAGGTGTGTTTGTGTGTGTCCACTGGAAACCAGCTGTAACGTTATTTAAAATTTATTTTTATAAAATGAGAAGTCACCAATAGAAAATCTCACACGGTAGAACCCCTGAGATCTAGCCTTGGTTTTGTTGGTCCACAGTTTGTCCAACCACTTCTAGGAAGTCAATACCAAAATGTTTTTCTTACAGCTTACAGATGCGTAGCTATAAGCAGTAGTCTTCATGACTTGGCTGTTCTTAAACTGTTTCAAGTTTCGGTTTGTTACAATTTACTGTTCCACTACTCAGTGGAACTAGTAAGCCTAATCTCTGCATGGTTGGTTGATTATTTCCCATGCGGTTAGTAAAGTACATTCATTGTTTTATTTTGTAAGAAAAAACCGTGAATAAGAAAGTTTAGCAGAACATTAGGCTACTTAATATTTGAAGGCCTACTATCTTCAGAACCAACATATATTGAGTAGACTTTACCTCCATCAGTATTTAATATTTGTTTGTACTATCTGAAATGATAATATTTTTATGTTCATTACTTAATTAGCACAACCTATTAATTAATTTTCCTATTAATATATTTTTCTAAAAAAAGGAAACCAGAAGAGGGTAGGCCTAACATTTATTGACCACAAATTAGATGTAAATTATCACTTTATAATACGCCCAACCAATTTGTTATCTGGCCAGTGGTTCAGTAATTTATTTGCTACATATGGGGGGGGGGTTCTACTGTAATTAAACCACTAAACAATTCATGTTGTAACCGTTCAAACATTTGACAGATTGTAGAAGGACTGCTGGACCAGAGCTTCTTGCCCAATGAACCAGAGTTGGCCCTTCGATACAGAGAGATCTTGCTGCGTATTCTCAAGTGTCTACAAGACCCTCGACTCTACGGCAGCAAGTGGGTCAGCAACCAGGTGACCAGGTCAGTTCTGAGATTATGTAATAAGCAAATAAGTAAACCTTTAACGGCAGTATTATCTTCATTCAAACATTTGCTGTCAATGTGATTATATTGGAGCATGTTTCTTTGTGTGTAGCCTACAATGTTGGTACATATTATAGATAAACTACCAATCCATTCGGAGTATTTACTCAATTTTGTTATTACTTATGCTGAATGTTAAACAAGCTGTATTAGTAAAACAAAATTTTTATGTTGGTGGGGGTGGGGTTGGGGTGATCCTACCGCTAACTTTTTGATAATGATCTTTTGTTACACCCAAGTGTTTGGAAGTTTCCACCATGTTTTGCAGAATCTGCATTGGTCTGTCTGACCTCCTCACTTGGTTCTGCCTTGTACTAGAGGGATTTTTACAACTCTTACTTGTGAATCTGTCATACAAGACCCTAGCTCCGTAATGGCTTGGCTGGCTGAGAGGATCAGTCTTTTGCCTTTCCTCAGGTAAATGTCCAGGATGGCTTTAGCACAGCACTCACTCCAGGGCCCCCGGTTGAAAGACTTTCTGCGCTACCCAGGACTAGGGAGATATTGGTTTCCTTACCTTCACCCCCATCCCCGATCTAGTTTGCAATTGTTACTTCAAAACTAACAATTTGGTATTTTGTTGTTAACTCGGTAATAGTATCGCTAATCTAACCCCAGAAGAGCCGGGTCCTCTTTCAGTCCAACCAATTTCCTAACGCTAATTAAAAAAAAAATAAATAAAGATGGGTTGGTTGTTAAGTCGGTTGTCGGTTTTACTGGTTTTTAGCAAAAAGCCTGAAACCGAGAATTGACATAAAAAGTCGGTTTCGGTTGATCCGTTACTGGGCAATCTTTTTGCCGTGATTAAAAGGCTTATCAGATGTTTTTTTACGACTTTATTAATTTATTGGTAACGATTCAATACAATTAAATACCCATTGGTAGTAGTCCCGAACCCATTAATATTTTATCAGGACAATAACAATTTTGTCAAAGTCAAGTACTTCCCAGAAATCTGATAATGTGGACCACCTTTTCATGAGTGGTGAGAAAAATTTCTATGTAAATAGGTCATTTAAGGGAGAAAGCCGACAACGGGGAACTGATTTTTTTTTAACCGAACCGATGAAATCAGCAACGGACTGGACCCATCATAAAAAAAAATACTTGCAACTTAGCCCGTTTAGTTTAAATGAAGAAACAATTTTGTATAAAAGAGCATTTTGTACTATTAAGGATTATGGAAAAAATTTCAATACATTTACATATAAATTCCATGTCATACTTAAAAACAAAACTGTTAAAGTTTGCTTGTTTATAGAAATATTATGATCAAATTTAACAAATTTATCTACATTTCCTCTAATAATTTTTAACATTTTATCAAACCGACTTTTCCCCTTCCCCGTAGCAGCAAACCTTAGTACATGTTAAAGTGTTAAGTTATTTAAATGGGGAATAAAATAATATGACTGGTTCATAGAAATAAATAAGTTGGTAGTTCTTACCTTAACCTTGTTGGAAAATGAAATTTTCTTTATTCAAAAAGTAGGAAATAACGCTCTGATTCTGAAAATGATAGGTATTCTCCTGCATAACGTGGGAAAACCAAGGAAAAGCGGAAAACAGAAAATACTTTTCCCGCCAAAATTGGTTATGTACTCAAATTAAACTAGGGATGGACGAGATTGAATTTTTAGTTCGAGACGAGACGAGACGAGATTTTTTATTTCTCATAAAATTTCGAGACGAGATCGAGACGGGATTTCCCTTCTCATACACAACAGGAAATGCACGTTCAAAATTTTTACCTGATTTTGTAACATTGTTAGATGACTGTTTAAATACAAAAATAATGATAATAGGCAAGAATATTTACAATCTTTTATTAAAAAACATCAGCATAACATTTTTTTATTAATCACGCCTAACTTATTAAAAATGCCTACGATTAGGAAACATAGTGATATCAGTTAGGATAGAGTTCAACTTATCCTAAAATAAAATAAATCATAAAATAAAAGCAATATTAATTTTTATAAAATAGTTACTTGTTTTGACTTTTTATAGTAATAAAACATTCCTCACACTGCTTACACTTAACAAAACTTCTCAAATGTTATTAAAGTAATATTATTAAAATAATTAAAGTAATATTTACATTTATAGAATTAATTAAATAAGAATGCCTTCGCAAAGGAAACGCAACTACAACACGCTCCTGTATTGCGGGTATTGCATTGACTTTCTGCAGGCGTTTTTAATATTTTTTTTTTTTTTTATTCTCGTCTCGATAAAAATCTCGGCCAAAAAGAAATCTCGTCTCGTGTAACGAGATTTAAAATTTCCCGAAAATTTCCCGAAATTTCGAGACTTGACCATCCCTAAATTAAACGGTAAAGCGAGCTGAACAAGAATATGCAAGAAGATCAGATTGATATTAACGAAAGAATGGCGGGAAAAGTGTTGGTTAGGTTATGTCCGGTTAAGTTGGGTACGGTTAGGTTACTAACAATACAAATGTTATTGATAACCTAACCTAAACTAACCCAAACCAAAGCTTTTCTGGCTGTATCTCCATTAATATCCATCGGAATATTCTTGTTTAACTCGCTCTACCGGTTAATTTGAGTACATAACCAATTTTTTTTCTGTTTTTCCGCTTTTCAAGAGTTTTCCGACGTTTTGTGTGGGAAAACTATCATTTTCAGAATCAGGTCGGTATTTCCTACATTTTGAAAAAAGAAAATTTCAATTTCCAAGGGTGCATTGAGAAGGTAAGAATCACCAATATTTTAGTTTAGGTTTAGTCTTACGGTTTGCTGTAGCGAGGGTATTTTTAATTCGGCTTAAGGATTTCCCTAAGTCAAGTCATTCTGTGATGTAATAGTCTGTTTTTTCCTAATATTTTCAGCTCATTGATTTCCAACCATGCTACTCAGTCTGTTGGTGACAAACTCTATTTGAACTTTTTCTTTTATTTCTGAAAACTTTAAATATTTGTTGCAGATACTTGACTGAGTGCAGGGAAGAATACCGATACAACTTGGAAGGTATAGATCTGCTGATTCGCTCCCAGGTTGTGAACATTCAGCAATACGACCATCACCTCAGCCAGCTGATGGAGAATGGAGGCAACTACATTGCAATGGCATTTGCCATGCAGCTGGTATGTAGTGTGATAACATCAGGGTTGAAGCTAATCAAATTTATTGGGCTAAAGATTTCTAACAATCAATACCTACTAATATGACCGACATTCAGCTCTCTGTAAACTCTGTAGGCCTACTTTATAAAATGCTTTCCTTGTTGACCGAAATAAATACAAATGAACACATTAACACATAGAATTTTTTGAGCTACTAGCTCCTTATTCTGTAGTGTAGTAATTAAAGAGTCTACCACGAAGGAAGGAGCTAGTTGCTACGAAAACTATACGTGTTTATTTGTGCATTACCCTGGTTAAATAAACTAAATAATACGCTTTAATTAACCAGTTAAAACTATCCACCACAAAATCCTCAAAAATTCCGAGCCTCTATAAAAAAAATATTTGATAAAGATTTTACTTAAATTTGAGATGTAGGACTAGATTTTTATTTTTAAATCTCTAGATTGGCAATTAATTACTAGCAAGCAAGCAAGAACATTTTACTAAATGGACATTTTACTATTTATATTTTTGGAATTTCTCTTATGAATAGTCTAACACTGTAAAATATTTCCCTAGAGAGAGATCCACTGCAATAGTTTTTAATGTGGACACTAGTGATGTGTCAAAACCGAATCTCAAATCTCAAAACCATCAAAACTTAGGAAAAGTTTCGAGATTCAAAAGTTTCGAAATTCAAAATTTTAGCAGTTTTATTTTTGAAACTGCTGACATTTATTTGTGCCATTGTTATTGTTTTTAACACTGTTTCCAAACAAGCTGGTAGCAACAGAGCAAACATCACCATTAATATTAATGAAACAAGTAAATTTTATTCTGAACTTCAAAAGGTATCTTAAATAGGTACTCTAACTGGTACAGTTCAGTTTCACATCAATATTTACTAAACACAAAGAAATATTGAACCACTACGACATGTTCTAATTAATCTAATATTCATGTTTTGTTTCTTGTTAGAAGTTTAATTTATTTTTTTTGTTGGTTGTTTATATAAAATTATGTTGTAGCCTATTAGGTTTTAAGATCTCAAAACACAAAAACTGGCGGTTTTTATTAGTCACATTCACATACTGTATTTTATGTTATGTCATGGTCAGGAGGAGTCGATCTCTTTCAGTTTTGATTGCATACTTAAAATTTTATGATTATGTGTACTTTTTTGTAACCTTGACCTTTGTAACCAGCTAAGTAAAAAAGTTTCGCGTTTAGGTTTTGAGATTCGAGATTCGGGATTCGATTTTTAAAAGTTTCGGTTTCGGTTTTGAGATTCAAAATTTCTGGTTTTGACCATCACTAGTGGACACTATACAGTATGTTTCTATAGGTCAATCTTGTCTCTTATAAACTATAGTAATGTTAACAGGTTCAACACTACTTTATAGACGACAAACACAACTCACCTGTCAATGATAGTGATCTTTGCAACGTCATTGATACATTGGCTCGCATTTCGTCTCAGTCTCGCCAACCTCCTGAGGGGTAAGTCACTATTCAATAAATCCATCACTTCTTTCAACACCAGACCCACAACTTTCTTGTATAAGCCTATCCCAAAAATACTTAATAGAAAGACTTAAAGACAGGGATTGGTGTAGTATATCCAATCCATTCAGAAAACTTGGTAAAACTATTTTTAAAATGGTACCTACCGGTATTGGTATTAGAATTTTTTTTAGGTATCGGTAACAAAAATCGATAAATTTTTGTATTGACACATCACCAATTTCATCAAATACTGATAATACGCATTATATATTATTTTCATTTAAATGTGTTTGGTAAGCAGTTTGGTTTTATTAAAGGCAGGTCAACAGAAAGTGCTTTATTGGCAGTAACTGATCACATCTTCCAAGGATTAAAATCAAAACTGAAAACAACAGGTCTATTTTTGATTTTAAAAAAGCTTTTGACATGGTTAATCACAACATTTTTTTAAATAAATTGCAAAACGTAGGAATAAGAGGTACAGCTTTTGAGTGGTTTAAGAGTTTCATCACAAATAGGAGGCAACAAGTAAAAATAAACAATGACTACAGTAACCCTCTCCTTGTACAAACGGGTGTGCCCCAAGGGTCAACGACCTCAGGTACCTTATTTTTAGTGTTCATCAACAATTTATTAAATCTACCTTTTAACGGAAATATCTTAGCTTTTGCTGATGACATTGCTCTTTTCTACACACAAAGCGATTTGATGTTGATGGAAAATTTAATAAACGATGATCTTTTACTTTTAAGAAATTGGTGTTTGATCAATAGAATGCAGGTAAATGTAAACAAAACCAAATTTATTAACTTCCACTCAACCGGTTTCGAATTGCCAGCCGTTAAAAAAAGTAAAATCTATAAAATATTTAGAAGTTTTGCTCGTTGAAAAAGTCACCTTCGAACCTCATATATTATCTCATATATTATAATCTACATGCTAAGATACGAACACAAATAAGAAAATTGTATTTTTTAAGGAACTTTTGTAACGAATCACTCTTGAAAACATTATACTTTGCACTAATCAACTCAAGATTGCAATATGCCTTGCCATGCTGGAGAGGAACTTATAAAACCTTGATAAATAGATTAAGAACAACACAAAACTTTTTATGCAGATAATTTTGAAACAACCTAAAAGGACAAGTTCATTTCCACTCTACCAACAGTTAAAAATTTTGCCCATACAGCACCTTTTTCTTTTCAAAGTTCTTAGATTGTTTTTTGTTCGAAGTTGAAACCTCTTGTCTCACCAGGTTGGTCAACCTGATAGAGATGTTGAAGGCAAGTCATGATCAGAACTTGTTGGCTGACAGATCACCTGCTGGGCCTACTGCTCACATCCACTCTGGCATTCTACAAGTAAGGGTAAGTGAAATATGCTGAGAAGCTGATTCTAGACCACTTTCTTCTTGCCCCTCCCTTTGTATTCAGATACGACTCTGGACAATATAAGCAGTGTAAGTTGTAGTGTAACGTTAGGTAACCTCGGGCTACTGGAGGCCTACCCACTGTTACTTTGGGTGATGTAGCTCAGGAATGAAACTCAGCAATCGTTTACTGAACCCAACTTAACACAACTTAATATTAGCCCACAAAACATACAAAGATAAGTTACAAACAAAAAGGTAGAATAAAGTGGAACAGTTTGGATTAAAACATAAACCCCAATTTGGAAAGAGACTCTAAATCACAATTTTGAGAACCCTCCAGCTCCCCCAGCAGGACCATGTCCTCTAGTACACCACACATACCACTACACACAAAACTGACCCCCTGATCAAGTGCACTGGCCTACTTTAAGCAGCAGCCTTCAGTAGGTCAGCACAACAAGTTATTGTTTAACACATTCGCTGCAGCCCGTCAATGGCAGGCGTAGCCCTGGTGCAGCGCAGCGTCGAACAAACCTTCGGTCTGACGGATAGCAAATAACGTATAATAATAATATAATATAATAATAATGTTTAATGTTGAGGGATGTATAACCAGGATAATATGTTTTCAAATCTTTAAATCTTTCCACCCTAAAATTTCTTCTCATTGTGTACTGTAACACTGTAACTAATTGATAGTGAAAATCACAGGCTCGTGACTATGATGACCCTCCTGGCTTGATGGAAAAGACTGACTTCCTACTGAGAGAATGGGTGACAATTTACAACTCCACATCCGGCAGTAAGGACCCAAGCAAGGCTTTCAGCATGTTCGTTCACCAGGTCAGTTGCTAGTAGTGATGTGTTAATTCTAATCACAAGTACACAAATTCATTTCTTGGGTTTTTAACAGTTGGAAAAATTTTCTGTAGTTTCCCAATCATCCGTGAGTGGATTAAACCGATTAACCATGATTTCTAACAAATCAAGATAAAAAATAAGATAATTCAAGTTAAATGAATGTTATACAGCTACGACTAAGATTTTTAGCATGAGGAGGCCCATCATCTCGAGGTCAGACTATAGAGTTGCCATTATTTGGTCAACGTACCACCGATGAGTCACTATTTACAGCCGATGAGTTGATAATATACATTTGGTGTGTGTTTTATTTTAATATTTGTTATTACTAGGGGTACACTTAGGCTCTCCAATATTTGTCCCACCTAGGCAAGAATAAGTCTTTTATAGCCAATGATGCGTTAAGCGTTAGGTTAGATTAAGGCTTTAATGCGTTTTAGTTTGACTCCCTCATTTCTCCACCTATATGATTAATCAATATTCCAAGGCAAAAAGAGAAAAAAATAACCAAAACAATCCACGATATACAATTATTTTTCCTTCAACAGTTTTTTTTTACTGACATTGCAGAGAGATGTACTGTTTAGCACAATCTGATGTTTAATAATTTACCATTTAAGTTGAAGTGATTTAGTAAAACCTGTTTAGCAGCAATCTTGCACACTGCACCGACGTCTATCCCTAGCTCTCAAGGCTGTTTAAGAGTCCTTGGAGTGTAGATGTTCTAATTCGCAAAACAATTAAAAATTTAAATAAAATTTCTGATCCCACAGTATATTAGATAAATTACAATCACTCTGGTGTTTCAAAAAATATTTTGAGATGGTAAATAACTCTTCAGCAACTGTTTGAAATTATCCATGATGGCCGCTACAAGGACTCTTAAGGGAAAGTCATAAATAATGCAAGATTCGACAATCCAAATGATTACTTCATTCAACCTCACCTAGACAAACATAAGACTCTCTTTTCTTTAGTAAGTCTCTTTTACAGCCAATGATGCCTTACGTTAGGTTAGGTTGATGTGTTGGAAGGTCACTGCTCATTCCTGCACTCATGATTACAAAATATTCTGAGGCTGTGCTGTGTTAAGGAAAAAAAACAATAATTTTTGTGTAGCCAGTTGAAGTCTGATCCAGAACATTTTTTATATCCCCCACCCCCAGCCATATTCTTTCCAGGGGCCCACTTATAAGCAATGCATAAACTTGTAGCTAATAACAATGGTAAAAATTTCAGGAAATTTTAAATATTTAAATCTTGTTATACGAGACGAGATTTGTTTTTGATCAAGATTTTTTCAAGACAAGATAAAAATAAAGAAATTTAAACGCCTGCAGAAAGTCAATGCAATACACGCAATACAGGAGCGCGTTGTAGTTGCGTTTCCTTTGCGAAGGCATTCTTATTTAATTTATTCTTTACATGTAAATATTACTTAAATTGTTTTTCATTTGATAAGTTTTGTTAAGTGTAAGCAGTTAGAGGCATGTTTTACTACTGTAAACATGCCAAAACAAGTAAGTAGCCTATTTTATACAAATTAATATTGCTTTTATTTTATGATTTATTTTATTTTAGGATAAGTTTAACTCTATCCCTAGAACTGATATCACCATGTTTCCTAAGCCTAAGTGTTATTTTTAATAAGATAGGCGTAATTAGTATAATTTTTTTAAATTCTGATTAGAGATGAGCCGATACCAAAAATTGTCGATACCGATACCGATACCACCAAAGTACTCTCGATACCTATCGATACAGATACTTCCAATACCTATCTTTTTTGCACAGTTTCTTCCACTAATAATATTATAAACTGTTATACCATAAAAAAACACAATATGTATGTGTATCAAACTTATATTTTGGTGTTAAAGGTTTATTATTAATTGCAAACAACAATTACAAAAATGTGGAACTAAGTGTTTATTTTAAAATAGGCCTACTGTTTGAATTTGACTAAAGCATGAGATCTAATAAAGTTTCCTCTAATTTATAAATAGGCTTATATAAGTATTTATCTAAGTCATTTGTCAGTTTTTGTATTTATTTGAAATTGCATCAATTGTCTTAGTTAACTCATTAAGCTATAAATAAAAAAAAAAAATACGTACATCTTGGCCTACAAATATTCTTTGTGAAGGTAAGTTTTTTTCCCTAAAGCCTGTGTCACACTTGGCTACTTACTAGCAGCTACCTAGTAGCAGCTACTGAAATAGCAGCTACTTTTCCTGTCACACTTATTTTGGTAGCGTCTATTCACTAGCTGCTACTATTAGTTTAGCTCAAGAGAGGTTATGTCCTTAAGACACGGATATTTTCTATACAGGTTTAAAAAAGTAATCACATCTCCCCCACCCCACTTCGGATCACTCATGATTACTTCAGAAATTATTCAAAATGAACGAGAATAAACAAATCAGGCAGACAGCACGTGGTGCAAGTAGCCGCTAGTCCGCTATTGAAGCTGTCACACTGGGCGACAGTCGCTACTTGATAGCTGCTAGTTGGTCACGTGACTCACTAGCGCAGTTTAGTAGCACGGAAAGTTGGACATGTTCAACTTTCCATGCTAGTAAAATTTCACTAGCGCGCTACTCTTAGTAGCTGCTACTGCCTATGTCACATTGGCTACTTAGTAGCTGCTATTTCGCTAGCTGCTAGTAAAGTAGCGTAGTGTGACACAGGCTTAAGAGAGTAAAAACAAACTTCCTATATAATGACATTTTTTCACTAGTTGTATGAAAAACAGTTATATATCTTCAAAATTTGTTTAACTATGAAAAAGTCACCAAGTCTAGCTGAAAACAGATTCATAAATGAGGATATTTTTGAAATACAGTATAACTAATCAAAGAACATTTTTATTTTTAACACTTTTATTTCTTAACTTATTTTCCTTGAAAATGTCAACAGTTTTTCACTTATTTTAAGAGATGTAGGAATTGGCTAACTCAGGAACTCGCTAACTCGGTCGTTAATCGGAACTGGCTAACTCTGGAACTGGCTAACCATCTCAGTCAGGAATTGGCTAACCCCGGAACCCGCTAACTCGATTTTGTCTCGCGGCGGAATTCGCTAACTCTGGAAGTCGCTAACCCGGCCGCGCCCACTGCACGGAGCGTTGCCAACCTTGTATGACAAAATAATCGTACACTGCCGTATTTCAAAATGTCAGTGTCAATGAAGATACAGTAAAATGTTATTGTTTTTTGTTTTCCAATTCCACTTTTTAACAGTTAACTAGCCCAAAGTATTAAAAGGGGATTTAAAAATCATGAAAAAGTGTTTTTAATATAATTTTACAACGGCGGCCAATTAAATGTTTATGATTTCGATCTGAAATATAAATGCTATGAGTATTAGGACAATAATAGAATATAAAAAATATTGAACATTCAGTTTAATTGGTACTAAGCAATTAAACCTCTATGAAATTAAGCTAAAATACACGCAAGTTCTCAAACACAGAAAATAAATTTAATCGTAATGTCGTAATAAACCAAAACCATTAATTAATACAGTCATCAACCATCGTAACTTTAATACTAATTTATAGATTTAAAATTAAAGGTACGTCGTTGAATCGTCCAACTTAGTGTAAAAATATGACATAGACCACGTTCAATATCAATTCATAGAATAGCTGTAGGCCTAAATCTATGCCTAATAGTTTAAACCAAAGCATTGTAGGCCTACTAGTAAATAGTTGCCTAATTCTAAAATGTGTTGATTTTTTTGTAAGAATGTTATATGTTTTAATAACAGTTTTTAGATTGTACACCTAAGCCCCACTACTAAATAACAGAAGAATATAAAAGATTCTTATATTAAAACGTGACAGGGTTATTTTAATTCACGATTCTTAATCAACGACATGACGGATTTTCCTGATTTTAGTGTTGGGGTTCCTTCATATTGCTTTTACAATCAAAATAAACTATACCAAGCCTAATGATTCTAATCATAACTAATTACACGTCCCCTAGTTATATAACCAAACAGCAAAAAGAACAAATCATGAACGAAACACCTGTTCTTATGTATGAAATGTACTTTATAAAGAACGTTTTGTGTAAATAAAATATGTCTTATGTCTTATGTCTTATGTCTGAACTTAAACTATAAAATAATAGAAACAAAATTTCGTCGACACTAGCGATCAGTGTCACCGGACATGAACTAGACACGAAAAACGAGCTTCAAAGTTTACAATGGGATGTTAAGTTTAATTGTGTTGATTAGTCTATGGTAAGACTATAATGCATTTTCCACTCTAATAATCATAAGAATAATATTAAACATACTTCTAAATATATTTATTTTAACGACTACGTTGCTCTTGCTCCTAATTATTCGTAGGATACGACATTATGGTACTACACTTTCGGCAACACTGGCCAAAAATCTTCGTGCTTGGCTCCCATTGGACGGCGTGCGAGGCTTCTGTTTGGTAGTTAGCGAGTTCCGCCGAGGGACCGAGTTAGCGACTTCCGTACGAGGACGGAATTCGCTAACCTGGCTCTAGAGCGGGTTAGCGGGTTCCGGAGTTAGCCAATTCCGAAACCGAACAAGTTAGCGAATTCCTCTCATCAACCAAATTTGAAGATAGGGCGTTTAACATGAGGTTAGCGAGTTCCAGAGTTAGCCAATTCCGCGGACCCATTTTTAATAAAGATTATCACTTATAATTTCTCGTGGAGCTATGAAGAGCAGACAAGAGACATATGTCATTGCCACAAAAACCCTTCTCTACTGTGAATGAATGAACTGAGTGTTTATTAGTGTGAAGCCCCGCCCACCGTCTAACGGGACATGGGGTAGGAAAAGAGAAAGTTTGCTCTAAAGCCTGGTTCACATGCCCTCACCCTCGGCCTCAGTCGCTTGCAGATTTCCATTACACAAAAGTTTCTGAGTGTTAATTATTTTAAAATACTGTAAATGTTTGAATTTGACTATGATGAGATCTAATAAAGTTTCCTCTAATTTATAAATAGGCTTATAAATATTAATCTAAGTCATTTGACAGTTTTTCTATTTCTTTTTAAAAGCAATTGCAGTTATAATTTAAAAAAAAAATTACATACATCTTGCTATAAATACTTTTTGTAAGGAGAGTCTTTTCTCTAGTGAGTAAAAACGATCGTGGTCAAGGAATGACTGTGCTAAAACAGCACATTGTCAATTTTTACAAAAGTATTTTGACTGAAACCTGGTATTTTTTATTGTAGAATTTGTCGACGTCTGTGGAGAAAAGAATGGCAATAGATAGGTTTTACTTTTAGCCTACAATAAAGATTATGTTTTGGGACTAGAATCTCCAAAAGAGTGCTTTTATAAAACATTCCATAGTTTTATTTAGTAACAAAAGTGTTTGACTATGTTCCCGATGATACCAAGAATATAGGTTCGGCAGAGTGGATTCACTGTGAACCGGCCTTCCTGGCCCTTATGCACGACGTCACTATAACCTCCGTGTAGGGGTGTCAACAATGGATCGGAACAATCGATGTTTTGAACCTGTCTGTAACTAACCTAGTTTGTTATACTTTAATACTCATTATCTATAAACGAACACGTACTACATATCGGATCTCGAATCACGATAATTATCGATACCCTTCCCACCCACAATAAGAACATAAAACGATGTCTAAGTAATGGTCATTTGCTCCATTGAAACACGAAAGTCGATTGGCTGACATGGTAGTGCATTGTCGCCTCCTGACCAATGAGAACTGTTGTTACATACTTTTATTGTCAACATTCACCATTCGTTATAACATTACAAAATCGACATGGACTAAGGCTTATGATATTTTTAAATACATTATGTCATAGTAGCACTTAAAACTTCACTAAACTCTTTAATCAGGTATATAGTACAGATAAAATATGGACCTACTTTTTGGCGCAATATAAAGCAAGCCTAACCATACAACGATGACGATGTTAAAGTTTAATGGTTGAATATAATTTTTCTAATGATGCGTATAATGCAGGGATGAAACTGAAAATTTTGACGTGTTTAGGTTATTTATTTTGTACTAAAAATAAAAATAATACATCTAAATGTCTGACTTATTGATACAGATATTGTTTAGTATAATTAATTTCGTGTTGGCAGGACATTCGCACGCCAGTTGTCTCTTGAGTTGAGTCTGACATCTTGAAATGTAGATTGTGTTGTGCAATGAGCTGAAGCTAAACAATGGCACCGGCACCGTCGCTGTTTTGAACTAGATAGTTTCTAAGTTGGCTATGAAAATTGTTAACCGTGATTACAAAACTAATACTGTAGCTATAAAGTAAATAAATGTTAAAATAAGGTTTGGAGAGAAAGGGCTAATTGCCTGAGAATAGGTGTAAGAAAGGATAGGATAAGCAGGCTTACCTTAAAAAATGTAGGCATCCCACTTCATTCACTACAGAACACAGAAGAAAACACAAACAAACAAAATAAACACACTGGCCCCTTTCTCAACATGGAGAGTCACATTAGATATTAAGAGTCTTTCACTGGTAAGGAAGCAGTGTTGCCAACACAAGGTTATGAGTCATTGATTTTATTTACACTTAGTCTAAGCCTGCTTTTTAGGTGTGGAAGGGGAAAGGAAAATGTTAGGCCTATCTGAGATTGAGGTTTGGGGGCTCCCTGGATTTGGTGAACCATTGATAAGAGAGTTCCCATCTCCTTAGTTGTGATGGGTTACAGGTGGGAGGGAAAGATCTTATTATTTTTGAATTGAAACAACTGTTTAAATCTTGCATATTGTGGCTGGTAGCATGAATAGGCACTGGTTTTTCTGGATGGTTGTTTTTTATATCTGTCCTATGATTGTTCATTCTTGTTCTAAAACTGGTGGTGGTAAGTCCAATGTATTGAGATGGGCAATGGTTGCATTGAAGTTGATATACAACATTTTTCGTGGAGCATGTATTGTGTCCTTTAATTTTGAAGGTTTCTCCTGTTGATGTGCTTGTAAATGTTGTGCTGGGCCTATTAATGTGGCAGGTTTTGCATCTTGCCATGTCACATGGGAATGAGCCTTCTATGGGTTTGTCTTGGTCTTTGTTAGGTTTTGACTGTTTAGGGTGAACTAACAACTTTTTTAAATTGGCTGGTTGTCGGAATGTTATTTTAAATGTTAAAATAAAATATTTATCCCTGTCGGGTGTCGGTATCATCAGAATCAACTTTTGACAATCGAGTCTTGGTAACCGATACCAATGTCCAAGTGGTAACCAATGGATGGTGGTATCGATGACGATAATCGACACATTCCCTTTTTAGAACTGCATCGTGTCCAAATCGATGCATGCTGGATCGAATCGGGATTCGATGCATTGAATTGAAATTTCAATGCATCGAATTGAAATTTCAATGCATCGCACTCCGCACTCGCTGCAACACCACTACCTATCACCCAGTACCAGTGTCAGCTGTCGCTGTCAGTGAAATGGATGACGCAAGCGATGTCTAGGTTGCCGATTATTATTAGGCCTAGTATGTTAATATTGAAAGGGGTTAAGGGATTAAATAAAACTAAAACATTTTCCTTTCTTGTTATTTACTTGTCAAATATCAACAAAATCGGCTTAACCTCTACTACTCGACTCGAGTTGCGAGTATCTTTAACTAAGTAGCAAATGGCTAGGATTCGTAACGGCAACGGCAATTTACCCCGCTCTGAACTGACTTAATCTACACCGATTCGTAGCATTCAGTGGTTTCAGTGTCAGTATCGGTATCGAACCAAAACAGGCAAGTATCGAGTATCGACGATACCTCGATACCGCTGGTATCGAGTATCGGTATCGGCCCACCTCTAATTCTGATGTTTTTTTAATAGAAGATTTTTAAAAATATTCTTGCCTATTATTATTTTTGTATTTAAACAGTCATCCGTCATAAATCAGTAGGTATTTCACAATGTTACAAAATCAGGTAAAAATGTCGAACGTGCATTTCCATGCATGTATGAGAAGGGGAAATCCCATCTCGATCTCGTCTCAAAATTTTATGAAAAATAAAATATCTCGTCTCGTCTTGAACTAAAAATCCAATCTCGTCCATCCCTCTTAAGTAAAAATGGAAATGGAGAGTCAATTATACACTGTAAGGAGATGTTCAAACTATAATTTCCACGTGTACTAGGATTGTACATTTTCATTTTATTTTCCAGATGAACTGTCACGGTATACTGAAGACTGACGATTATATTACAAGATTCTTCCGCCTGAGCACTCAGATGGTGGTGGAGCTGTGTTACCAGAATATTCCTCAGTCCGGCCAGACAACTGTCCGCAACAAGATCTTCCACACCATTGATGCCTACGTCAAACTCATCGCATTGCTAGTCAAACACTCTGGCGATTCCACCAACTCTTCTACCAAGGTGAAGAGATCATTAAATTCTTTACCCGCTCTATCGTAGACAATTTTTATCCAAGTTTACTTGTCTCAGTAAGGTAGATATTTGAGTGAGTAAATAAATATACTTTTTTCCTATAGTTACCTAACAATGTACATGTTCTCTCACTGATTTGAGAAAGCAAAGTGGCCAATTCGCTCATCAGTGGTACAATGTTAACATTGTCTCACTCTAATTAACTTTGTCTCACTCACTCCAGATTTGCAACGTGAAGGCACAAAATAGTGAGCGCGTAACATGCAGACAAGGTCGTTTGCGCGCGAAAAACGTTGGCAGCACTGGCTGTAAATCAGTTGGTCAGCTGTTGTACTGTTGTATCATTAAATGTAATATTAAAAGTTTACTTCTGTGTAAAAATATGTCACGTTTCTTTACCAATTTATTTGCTTTATGGTAACTGTAGGAAAATATAATGTGCAACTCGAGTGCAAAGTGCAATTGCCTCTCTCGAGAAACCATTCCTCACTCGCCTACGGCTCGTGGAGTAAGTATTTCTCTCGAGTGAGTCAATTGCTCCCTTTGCTCACTAGTTGCACAAATCAACTATTTATTGAGGCAAACTTTATTACATGTCTAGCTCGGGATTTTTTTGCACATTACTTCAGGCTAGGCTTTGCAGAGTTGTGGAATTATCATTAAAATAATATAATCCGTTGGTGATTGGCGGGATTTGAACCCAGGATCTCGGGGACTAAAGTCCCGAGCTGTAGCTATACCACTATAACAGGTTATAAACCAGCTCGCTCCCCCAGTAGGTGAACATAAGAACCACAGGCTCTTACAATTAACGTTCTGAAATACTAAATTTAACTATACAATGTACTTTTATTACAAACAATTTTTTGTACCTACTCCAAAATATTAACTAAAAAGTGTAGACTAAAGCAACAAATTATAGTCCCCCAATATATATTCACAAACTCAATCACTATCCCCTACACTTAGGCCGAACGGACACCCATCTTGCCAAGTCAAATCTCTGATTGAGTTAGTTAGCCTACGCTTTCAACACGGTCATCAGTCTGGAACGGGATTCTAGGCAACCTGAACCTGATGGTGAATTATGGTGATGGTGGTATTAAGGTGATAGCAGGTATTTTTTGCGCCTCTTTCTTTCGAAAATCTAAGATGGTTCGCGAGATAACTTTGAATTGAGATTAATGTTTGGATTATTGACCTTTGTGAGGGCATCATTGATTGTTATTTACTTTACAGATAAACTTGTTGAACAAAGTGCTGGGCATTGTGGCGGGGAGTGCTGCTTCAAGACCATGAGAGTCATCAACTAGAGTTCCAGCAGCTACCGTACCATCGTATCTTTATAATGCTCTTCTTGGAACTCAACGCACCTGAACCCATCTTGGAGGCTATCAACTACCAGGTACAATATTCTTTACCTTAGTTTTTTTATATTAGTAATATTTTTCCAAATCTTCCACTATAAAAAACCCTTCAAATTTTTGTTGATATGCTATGGACTGAACCCTTCTCTGAACTCCCAAAACATAAGCTTAAAGATTGTGCATGCACATTCACATGATGTCCACTACCAGCACCGCTTTAAAAACACCTATTCAAATCTTGTATAATATCGAGTATGTGCAACTTTCCTATTTCAATAGAAGAAGGAAATCTTATTAATGAATTTCACCATATTCATGCTAACAATCGTTTAGTTTTCTTCGGTTAAAACTAACTGATGATTTAACCCACAGTTCAAGGAAATCTGATTTCACCAATGAAAATATGGCAAAATTAATGTTGGATTTATAATCGAGTGTAAAGTAAAATCCAGGTGGCAGTGAACTCAAACTGTTATAATACCGGGCTGTCATGGGACCAAGTAAACATAAACTAGAAAATTAATCAGTGTTTATGAGGTAGTGAAAAAAACTAGAGACAGCAAGATTACAAGAATACAATAGATTTTGAGCAACAAGAACAAGATAAAAACAAGAATAAATAGCAACACAATTCAATGTTGATAAAAACAGATACAATTGAGGAACAAATTGATTTAAGTTTTTTTTGTTGAGTCAAGTCTCAAAATCTAACTTTTTACAGGGAAGTTAAACATGTCTGTTTGTTAACTATTAACTAACCAG